ACCTTGGAAAAATAGGGAGAGGGTGAAAAACCTTGTAAAAAATTTCCGAGTTTTTATTAAAAAAAACCTCGTAAAAAGTATGACCTCGGAGTATTGGAACGATTTCCAAGGATTTCAGAATAAAAACCTCGTAAAATAATTTCCGAGGATTTTTTTCAGAAAACCTTGGAAAATGAGTGACCTCGGAGTATTGGAACGATTTCCAAGGATTTTTAAAGTGTTTCCGTGGGTTTTTTTTCCAAGGTTTTTAAATGAAAACCTCGGAAAGTTTCTCACAACTTGGAATACTGTTATATTTTCGAGGAATCTTACTTAAGGGCATCAGAGAATTTTCCAAGGTTTATTTGAGCAAAAACCTTGGAAATTTCTAGAATATCCATGGAAAATAAGAAAATATAACATCCAATGAAATATTCTGAAAAGAGCAATTATATTGTCCTTTTAAGGAATTAAGAAAATTCTTTATAATAATACAGAGCAAAAAATGATCACATGACTCACTGAAACATTTAATGTCAGTGTGAAGTAAATAGTAATGCACTACAAATGAAAAGTTAAGTTAGTTATAGTCTTTAATGGTAAATATTACAATCAATGTTCAGTTATAATTTTTTGGTATCCGGCTATATTTTAATGTATTCAAATATCTATCTTTTGAATTCCTGTTCACTCTCCATGATTTTAAAGTGTCCCTTAGTTTTTCCCTCACCATCACAGGGGTCACATGTGGAAAATGCTCCAGGATACAATTCCTGAAATAAATAAAGTAAATATTTAATAAAGTACAGCCATTGAAAGAAGTTAGAAAAACAATTATATAAAATCACCACTGGGCGCTTCCCTCTCCATGTGGTCAGGATCAAAGACTTCAAACTACTTGCCTTACAACATTGTATTTTTGACTCCTGAAGCCAGGATGGGCTTCTTCCCTCTGAGGGAGCTATCCAGCCCAGGATTAAGGAACACCTGTGGTTATACTCAGGACAGTTCAGTATGTGTAGGCAATCAGAATTACATCATTTAATTTCTTTTTTATTAATCAATAAAAAAAATGATACGTTCCTTAAACGTTTCCATAGACAAAAATATCAGTTCACTGTTGATATATATTGTTTAAAAAAATCAGCACTTTTGTGAAAAGAAATACATCTTTTGAGTGATCCAAAACTACTTGAATGACAAGTTGTTTAAGACCTTTGCTTAAAATGAAGGCTTTAATATTTTCAAATGACCTTTTCTGTAGTTACTTTTAAATGTTTGTCTACTGTTTTGAAATAGTGAATTTAATTTTTTTCATGTTGATTTCTATTTTTTCTTCATCAGTACTTTTAGTGTCAGGATTTCAAGAAAACTTTGGTAAGCAGTGTGACAATTCTGCGATGTTAAGAAAAGAAACGATGTCTGTTACTATTATTTTAGATTATGTCATACTGGATGTTACAACCTAAAGCACTCCAAAAATATTGCAAAAAATAACGCTTTTCATAAGGTGATTCCGATTGCCTACACTAATTGTATCTGTCTGCTCAAAGTGACATCTGCATCAATAAAGCTGGAGAGTCATCATGTAACATTAACAGCATTTCCAACAAAGTATCAATAAAAAAATCAGTTCCAGAAACCTTCATTCATTCAAATTTCAAATTGAAACTTTCAAAACCTAGTTTTAAAACAAAAACATACTGTAGTATATTCCTTGAAGCCTTTCCTCAGGTCTACAGTTGGCTTCCTTAATCACTTGACTTTGAAGGTGCCAATGCCAATGACATTCCAGTATATTCCTCTGCTTTATACTATGATAAAACACAGCAAAGCTGGATAGTTTGGAACAGTCCTGCAAACTTGCTTACAAGCTGACTCTGTAATTAAAAATTTGTAGATTCAAATAATAGATGAAAGATGAAAGTTTATAAATAATGTCATCATAGTTTAATGCACTCATCTTGTTCAATACAATCATATACAAACATAGCATTTATACTCATAAAATATCCTCTAAACAATTGCATTTAAACTAGCTTACATTTAGGTTAAAAATATAGATCTAAAATAGTTTGTATTTAATACTTATTTGAAAAAAAAAAAACAACAGATTTTATGCATAAATGTATCTAAAATTATTTACCTGAACATTTTAACTATCTTGTTTCTTTTGTTTATCTTCCTGTCCCAGGTCATTGATCTTTAGGTTCAATTACAACAACCAAACATTTCCTGAATCTTGTCACACTTAGATAAATGTTTTCTTTGAAAATTCCAAAATATGCTCCCTAACATTAATAAAACAAGATATCTCCATAATTGCTTTAAATAAATCCAGGTTTGCACTATTTCCAACTATAACCACTTGACCCATTATTGTCTGAGATTCAAATTTTTCAACAGTATAACTGAAGGGGCAATCATAATGTGAAACAAGGGTGATCCCAAAATATCAAAGCCATCATCATTTTTTTTGACATTTATTGAAGGTACAAATATATCAAATGATAAATAAAAGTAAAACTTGAAAATTATAATAAGTTCTTGAAAGAGAATCACAGTTGCAGTGTCATTTTAGACAGTTTTGGATTGTATAAAAACCCAGACTCCCCCTGAATAATCACATGGAACAATCTGGTCTATCCCAGAATGCTCAATGAGAAGATTGATCATGCATAGATAAAGGGAACCACCTGGGGTGCCATTAGTTTTATCTGATCAGTGTGTTATATTCTGTGTGTGAAATCTTAGTGGATGCAGTATTTATTTATCCTAATTATAAGAAATTAACAAGCATACTGGTTATTATATTTCAGACATTCAATTGTACATAATTATATTTAAAGGACAATTAATAACTATTTATGTTTATTGTACACATAATTAATGGCAGAGTAAATTGTAATCTGAATGTATGTCACAGACTTGCTTAGTAGAATATACTATTTTATATGGCATAAAACATATATTAAAGATTAATAGCATTCTTATTTCAGTGTTGCTTACAGGCTGTCAAGAAACCCTAAGTTAAGTCTATATATAGAAAGAAACTGCAGGAAAAATACTGATGTATTTGGAAACTAATAGACATAAACACTGATTGTTTCTTTTTCTATAATTATAAGTTTTGCTCTTTTATCTATTCTTAAAAATGGATAAGATATCTAGTAACAATAATTATAAATAAATAAAAAAAAATATGAAAATAAAAAAAATAAAATTTTCAAGTCTTTCTGATCATCAGTTATTTGAATAATCTTTACCTTATTTTGATTAGTTACAATACCTTTATAGCCATTAATAAAAGGTAATTTATGGCAACAAGGAATTTAAATTGTATTTAACTTTTCCATGTTTTCACACTTAAATTTTTTTAATTGATTCCTCTCCAAAAAATGGCTTACAAATTTATTGAAAAGGAAGTTGGCCATTGACACTGTCCATACTAAAAATTGATTCCCTGGACCAAATCTCTCCTTTCCATGCTGTTGGACAATTGTTTGCTCTGACCATGGATTAAAAAATATCCATGGGCAATCTACAGTCGGGTTGTTATCTTAGTTTGCTTTAACTGTTGATTATTGCTTTTGATGCCCATTATAAGTTAAATCATGATTATGTCTTAACATTTTCCGAGATGAAATTTAGTTAAGTTCAATTATCCGAGGTCATTTCCAAGCTAAATATTGGCAAAGTGTTTCCAACAAATTTTACGTAAATTTTCTAAGTTCTTTTCCGAGCAAAAAAATGACAAAGTTCTTATTTCCAAGCTTTTTCCGAGCTGATTTTTGGCAGAGTGTTTAATTCCGAGGTAGTTTCCAAGGTTTTCTTTATTTCCAAGGATTTTTATACAAAAACCTTGGATAAAGTTTCCAAGGTTTTAAAAAAAACCTCGGAATTAAAAAAAAACCTTGTAAAACTGGTTTATTTCCAAGGTTTTTGAAGCAGTTTCCATGGTTTTTTTCATAAACCTCGGAAAATCTACACCCGGGTAGTTTGATGTAAGTACTGATGGAATAGCGAACAGTGCAGACTATGATCAGTCAGTAATTCGAATAACTTATTCATAAGCACACAATTTTTTAGTTAGCCTGGTTCCCTATTTTTTCAATTTAGATTGCTCAAAATTTCGAGGTATAACTTTTATTCCGAAAGCTGGTTATCAGGCACTGAATACATGGTGTTTGTGATGGACAATAGTCCAATAATAGTCCAATGAATCTAACAATAAAACAATACTTTATTACCTACACCCACAAAAATTGCTCCCGGCCAAATGGTGCTACAGTAACCGATCACATAATTAATATTTATTGTGCAATTAACTAAACATCTGCTAGGTGCTAGATGTCTGCAGTGTATATTTAAAACAGAGACTTAGACACCCCTTAAAGCCAATGTTTTATTATTATGTCTTATTAACACATCCATCTAAATGCCAATATAGAAGAAATTCTCAATTTCAAAGTAATACATCACTAAGCTTTAGCAGCAGACAAAATGTAATGGAAGATAAATAAAGAAATTTAATGTTTCTAAATTTACTCCAAGCTCAATATAAAGGTCAAGGTCCAAGAGTGCATAGGGGTTAAAAATTACTGCAAAAGTCTAATAAAAAAATTGATTTAATGCCTTTTTTAGGAAGAGAATAGTTTTCAATAATACTGATATGAGATTAATCAAAAGCATTGTCAACATAAGGCAAAACAAAAAAAAGTGACCTCTTGAGTCTATTTTAAGTATTTGACCTCAAATTACCACAGCTATTGACCTAGATAATGTTGATTTCAAAACCTTAAGAATAATGTCACACACACGCACTAAACAAAGCATTACTTTAATATTATACTTTGCCCAAATAAGGTAAAAATGGGACCTATCAATTTCTCAAATATGAGCAAAAAATGAATATTTCAATGCAACAGATTAAGTGTTTCCTTACATCAAGATGGATGAGTTAATATTTCACATTTTCTACCGTGATAATAATACCCTCTAACTTATATAGGTAAATATACCTTTTGTCTGTGTCGGGCATCCTGAAATTAATACCTCATAACAATAAGTAACCCTATTTTGATAAAACGTAGCTGCAAAACAAAAACCAAATCAATAGCTGAAACTTTTCTTAAACCTATAGTAAAAACACTGTACTATATTCTACTGCCACTGAAAATCCCTTCACCCCACCCCAAACGTCCTCAAATCAAAACAAAGCAATGTTAAAAATTGTTGAAATTTAAACAATGACTAAGCATATCATTTAAATAAAGGGCCCTGTGCGACCAAGTTAAACTTTTATTTACTTTATTGAATTGTAAAACATACAAAAGTCTTACAATACTTAAATTAAACACTACTTTCTGATATTTGTAAGAAAAAAGAATTGTAAAATTATTTTCATATAAAATGCAAGCTTGGTTGCATATGGTATTCTTAACTAAATTCTTCAGCCATTGTTTCTTGCTATGTAAAAATTGATTAGTTTCATTTTGGATTCTGAAATTTGCAAAAAACATATCAGAAAACAAGATAATTTACCACATCAAACCTGTATTTTAGCTTAAAAAGCAAATAACAAGAGCTGTCCGTAAGACAGCGCGCTCGACTTTTTTAGTGCTTGCCTATAATACAAAACATTGACAGTTAAGGGCCATAATTCAAATAAAATCTTTGACAGAATTACCTTCTCCTGGACATGTTTGGGAATCATGATTGTAAACAAGTATTCCAACTTTCAAATTAATATCTCAAACAGTTCAGTCAAAAAGTGGACTGGTACTAAAAACTTAACCAAGATTCTAAGTCGATAAAAGGCCTTAATTTTTAAAACAAATCCTTGACAGAGTTACCTTCTCTTGCGTACAGATGGGGGTAATGATGTGAAATAGCATTAAAAGTTTCAAAGCAATATCTCAAAGGGTTAAGGCAATAAGTGGATTTTACCCATATTCAATGTATTTTCTAAGTCAAAAAGGGGCATAATTCTGTCAAAAACCTTGACAGAGTTATGTCCTCTTGTCTGTTGATGAAGGTCGTGATGGTAAACAAGTATGGTCAGTTTCAAAAGCAATACCTCCAATGGTTTTGAAATAAAGTGAGGTGGTACAAAAAAACTTAACCAAGATTCTAAGTCGATAAAAGGCCTTAATTTTTAAAACAAATCCTTGACAGAGTTACCTTCTCTTGCGTACAGATGGGGGTAATGATGTGAAATAGCATTAAAAGTTTCAAAGCAATATCTCAAAGGGTTTAGGCAATAAGTGGATTTTACCCATATTCAATGTATTTTCTAAGTCAAAAAGGGGCATAATTCTGTCAAAAACCTTGACAGAGTTATGTCCTCTTGTCTGTTGATGAAGGTCGTGATGGTAAACAAGTATGGTCAGTTTCAAAGCAATACCTCCAATGGTTTTGAAATAAAGTGAGGTGGTACAAAAAACTTAACCAAGCTCAATACACTTTCTAAGTCAAAAAAAGGGCCATAATTCTGTCAAAAACCTTGACAGAGTTATGTACTCTTGTCTGTAGATGGAGGTTATGATGGTGAACAAGTATGGTAAGTTTCAAAGCCATACTTGTAATACTTCTGAAATAAAGTGGGGTGGTACGAAAAACTTAACCAAGGTGTGACGCCAACGCCGACGCTAACGCTAACGCCGACGCCGGGGCGAGTAGGATAGCTCCCCTTTTCATAGAAAAGTCGAGCTAAAAATGCATGCAAGGCTTTTACAAGATTATCAAATTTTATTCACTACCAACTCCTTAAGCACATCTTTTGTGAATTAATTACAATTTGTACATGTTTTCATTAATTCTATCAATTAATAACAAAAACTTATTTTTTCAATTCAAATTTTCACAGTTAAATGTCTACAATTTGTTAAGATCATTTCTTATTGACAAGACAAATGGAAATTCTTGAATACCATTTCTTTTTCACTAATCACCTCTACATAAAGTTTCAAAGAGTTGCTATGCAACTAAAATACACAGAAATACAAATGAATTGACTGGTTGATTGAGTACCATGTTTCTGGTGTAACCGTATTTGTATGAATACAGTATTTCTAGTAGTATGGAAGTGACGAGCAAAATTAACCATTTGAACTTATCTTTCAAGTGTGAATAAAATAAGGTAATCTGCTATAATAAAGTTATGCACTAGTCAAATGTAACCCTGCAACCCCCAACCCCCAGGATATATGTCATTTTGACTTTGGGATATTCCCTGCTACTTTGATTCTGATATATTTGGCCATTTTCATGCCAAAAACTGCTGCAATAACCTCGTTGTGCTGGGTTGCAATGTCGCAAGCTATGGTTGTAATTACAATTGACTACTGCAATTTTTCAAGTTTTGCTATGTTTTTTAAAAGCTGCAAGTCATCAAACAAATCAAGTACCTTTTGTTTTAAACGAGTATCCTGCAATCATTATAATCATACACATAAGTAAATATCTTAAACACAATATACAAATGTATATATGTATGCATATGAAAACTTCTCATCCACGATGGCTGCACAATTTTTTTTCCTCCTGATGAAGGTTCAGTGTAAAAATCAAAACTTCTAGTAAATAAATTTCTATTCACTAAACCAATTATGATTTTTCATTAATTTAAATGTTTTTCTATTTCTTGTAAAATTTTAAGCCTCTTTTTTTTAATTTGTAAAGTTATAAGCCATTTGGATCTTCCCAAGGTCATGTAGTGACCTTCTGACCTTTCAGCCATATGACCTTAACCAATCTGTTTCTGAGAAGTTAACAGTAAGAAGTTAACGGTATATAGCATATTGAGGGTTAACCGCAAGACTGCAGTAACTTATATGAAATAAAGAAGGACTTACAACAGTTTTGATATGATCAGTTGATAATGACATTACTGCTTACAACTACCGCTCAATGACAATTAAATTTTGTGAAATCATTAAAAACAAGAGCTGTCACAGGAGACAGCCAAGCTCGACTAATAAAATACTGGACACAGTAAGGAGGACAAAACTATGAAAGGAAAATCAATTATGTATAATTATGTATTATGTTATAGTAAAAAAATAACATTTGTTAAAATAAATTCCAAGATCAAGGGAAATAATTCTAGAAATAGTCACGCTAGAGTTATGAACCTTGTCACACAACATGCATGTAATGATAAGCAGTATATATTTGAAGTTTGAAGTAGATACCTTAAAAAGTAACAAAGTTATAATATTTCTTAAAGAAAATCCTAAGTTCAAAGAGAAATCAGTCTGTAAAAATTACTTCAAGAGTTATGAACATTGTCACATAAAGTATAATTGATTATAAGGAATAAGTATTTGAAGTTTGAGGTAGATAGTAAACTAACATTTTTCTAGTAAAAAAATCTAAGTTGATGAGGAGATAATTCTTGCAATATTGGTGCTAGAGTTATGAACCTTGTCACATAAGATGTGGATGATGATAAGGTACATATATTTGAAGTATGAAGTTGATCCCTTTAGAAATAAATAAGTAACAGTAAAAAACAATATTTTCTAAGAATAATTCTAAGTTCAAGGGGAGATAAATCTGAAAATATTGGTGCTAGAGTTACAAACCTTGACACAGAATTTTGGAGATGATGATAAGGTACATATATTTGAAGTATGAGGTTGATCCCTTAAGAAATAAGGAAGTAACAGTAAAAAATAGTATTTTTTGAGGAAAATTCTAAGTTCAAGGGGAGATAAATCTGAAAATATTGGTGCTAGAGTTATGACCCTTGTCACATAAGATGGGGATGATGATAAGGTACATATATTTGAAGTATGAGGTTGATCCCTTAAGAAATAAAGAAGTAACAGTAAAAAATAGTATTTTTTAAGAAAAATTCTAAGTTCAAGGGGAGATAAATCTGAAAATATTTGTGCTAAAGTTATGAACCTTGTCACATAAGATGTGGTTGATGATAAGGAACATATATTTGAAGTTTGAAGTTGATACCTTAAGAAATGACAAAGTTATAGTGAAAAATATTTTACTGCACCAAAACTTTAATCTAAAATCTGGACGCGGACGCCGACGCCGACGCCGGGGCGAGTAGGACAGCTCTCCATATACTTCGTATAGTCGAGCTAAAAATTACTATTTCTAATAGACTATTTCTAGTGTCTAAGCCCAACTACTAAGTTGTCCATTTATTATCATATAGAAATAAATATGGACAATTTCCAGACAACCTATGTTGCAATGATTAAATTTGGCTATTACAAGTAAAGAAATGTTTATAAAAACAAACTTTGGTTCTTTGCTACTGTACTGAACAAACTTTTACATAATTATATCAAATAATAACAATTATATATACACATTAGAAATAAGCACTAAGACTAAATATAAGCAAAACAAATTTCTAGAATTAAAAAATACTAATTTAAAATTCTATTGTCACAAAAATTATTATCTTGGACAAGATATTTGGACTTTTTATGAAAGAATTTAGTTTTTGAGTACAGTTACACACAGGAAGACAAAACGCATTTACACAGAAACAGATTTTAAGACTTCAAAATAATTAAAAACATGGACTATTATACAGTGAAACCTGTACACAGTGACACACATACGGTATCAAATATATAGAGGATATTGAATGAGTGTAGGTTTAATACTAAATTTATTGAACAAGTTGAATAAAATCATATTATGCGAGCCTCTGGCGAGCATAATATTTTTTATTCAACGAGTTCAATAAATTTAGTATTGAATCTACACGAATATAATATTCTATTTATCACATATATAAAATAAGAACGGTAAACTGTTAACAAGAGTCATTTTTCTTTGACGCGCCTATAGTGTAACGCTAACATTAGCGCGCTTTAACGCTATGTTTATAGTGCAAATGACGTGACGTCAAAGTGTTATTACACTAGTGTAATATCGTCTAGTGTAATATCGTTTTTATTAAATGGCTTTATTACATTCCTGCGCCGCGGTTTATGTGATAAATACATATATAACATTTGAGACGCGTCATGACAAAACCAACATAATGGGTTTGCGACCAGCATTGAATCAGACCAGCCTGCGCATCCGTGCAGTCTGATCAGGATCCATGCTGTTTGCTATCAGTTTCTCTACTTGTTATAGACTTTGTAAGCGAACAGCATGGATCCTGATCAGACTGCGCGGATGCGCAGGCTGGTCTGGATCCATGCTGGTCGCAAACCCATTATGTTGGTTTTGTCATGACGCGGCTCATTTGTTGTTTTGTTCTCCTTTTGGCAATATCTTATTCCTATTTTGTTGAGACATTTTTTTTCATAGCGCTTCAAAAATGAACGTAAATGTATCAAATTATTTCAAATTTAAATCATCCACGAAATTTGACAAAGAGCGTAAAACAAACTCTTGCCTTCAAAATGACACTTTTACCACTGCATTAACTTTACAAATATATCTTAGCTAAAATGTTAAAAAAAATGCATGTTTGTTTTCTTCAGAAAGAAACTTAATATTCATTGCTAAGTACTGGTTAGTTCCAGGAATGGATTCGAGAGTGTAAAAGAGTGGATAAGCTTATAGCTTCCTACACAATCAAACTAATATAAATTCTGTATAAACAGTGTGTGAAACCTTTTTTTTGGGAGGAAGGGGGGGATGGCCATTTTGATACAACTTTTTACAAATCAATAATGTTTCAATAAAAAGCTCATGTTTCACTGTGTACAGTTTTCCACAATTAGCAGTGCACATTGATATGTATTACAGAAATCTAAAACAACTGGTGCATCACACTTCACTCAAATCTACACTTTTAAGCAGATCTATGTAGGCGTAAGTATCCCTTACACTTTTAGACAGCACTTCCTTCTGAGTCTCCAGGAGCTTGATCACCTGCTCATTTTCCGCCTTTTCTTGCAGCAGACGGCGATTTTCATCTTTGAGTCTAAAAATAGAAACTAGACTGGTTACTTCAAATGCTAAATATAGATCTGTTCAACTGATAAATGTTCAGTTTAAAGCCCCATGCCTTTAGATCAGAGAACAAATTTTACAAAATAATTAAACTTTCACTAGTTAGAAAAAGTCTTAAATTTTCTTCAAATCTAAGCTTGAATCTGTAGACTTGCTGCTTTTATATCAAGTCAAGACTAAACAAGTCATGTGACAAGAATTCAATTTCCAATTCCCGGCATAAATTGAAGTAAACATATCAAATGTCTCTCCATTTCATTTTTTATGCCTCGCGTTCTATAAACCAGATTCTGATGACATATAACATTTAGTTAGAAAAGAATGTGTATAATAGTAACGTGGGAAGATATATCGTTTCGCAAATCTACAGTTATATTTAAAGTTTATTTTAAAATCAAAAAAGAAAAAAAATTAATAATTTTTTTCTCTCATTATATATCTATGATTGAAATTCATATAGGCAAGCCCTCATAATTTCTGTTAGCAAATGATGTCTATTCATAATGACTTTATAAGGAATCATCTAAAAAATAGCAAGTTATCTATTCTTGAGGTAATAACTTATTCAATAGTGTGTTCATGCACATAACACCTCCAAACAATCTTAATTTAGGTTAATTTCATTGCAAATAAAAAAAAAAAAAAAACACTCATAATTTCTGACTTTTGTGTACCACTTTAATCCAATCCTTCTCTAAACAAAATTATTGTTGCCATATCTGTTTTCATTCGGAATTTTTGTCCAACAGTTGCGAAAATAATGCTGTTTTCAATTTGGATTAAGACCGTATATATAAAATAAAATAGCCAAATTAACCTGCACCCTAAAAAATTAAAGATTGAATATGTATTAAAGGGACTCCAGGGAGGTTTTTTTTACAAGGGTACTAGAAATTGTTTTTTATTTTAGATTAATGTTCCATCCGATGAATTCCATTTTTCCATAATCATTATCCTTTTTTTCCAGATTTTGAATCATTATTCTAACTGTAAAAAAATACCCAAATTTGAAAAGCGTTGCAATGCTTTTCACTCAAATCCTGCTGAGAGTAGCACAAAATACAATTTTCAATGTATTTCTGAGTATATTTATTAATTACCTTTGGTATATCTTTCTGTTTTTAAGTGTGTGACTTGATCAATGTAAGAAATTAAATTTTACGCCTTTAGGCTTTTGGACCTCTGTGGAGTTCCTTTAAAGGCCCATAATGCATCAGAAGTGCAATAATTTTCATTTCTCAAAAAATTCTATCTTTAGTTTATCATCATAGTTTCTAAAAAAAGTACTCATTTACCATAAACATACACTATCTTTTGCTTATTTTGCTCTATTTGCTGATGGTATATTTAGTGAATTAGTACTATGTATGGACATCTAAATACTACTTCATTTACATGCTGCTACCTTTACAGCATATGTATGTTCAACACTACTTTTTTTCAGTTGTTGAATATCTAACATGCTCTTAATCCATTATTAAAACATTATCAAAAAGATCTTTAGCATTTCTAAAGAATAAAAAACATGTGGAATTCTGAGGCATAATGTGCCTTTAAGTAATGCAAGAATCTTACTTTTTGATATCTTCAACTTGATCAGACAACTGTTCGCAATCCTCTTTGTAACCTCGTAGTTCATCTCTCAACCTCTCATTCTGTAACAGCAGTCATTATCATATATTTAGGATCTAGATTAGTTATTTACAAAAATAAAATTTTGTTAAATAGGTTTGTTAGTTAACTTCACTGACACATGTTTTTGGTCATCCATCTAACCAGCTTTCCTGGAAAACTATTGAACCAGTAATGCCCAATTTCTCCGGTAGTAACCAGATACTTAACCGGATACTAAATCGCACATGATTTCTCTGAATATGTGGCGAGAGACAAATGACCCTTGGACTCAATGTCCGAGATCAGCTGTCATGGAGAAATTATGCTTTGACCGAGGATCAAACCAGCGACTCCTGGATTACTTATCCGATGCTCTCCTTATTCAGTTTAGCAGGCAGATTCGAATTTCGGGACATTGTTATAAAGGGAGTGTTTGGCAAGCTTCAGAACATTTTCTTGGCAAGATTAATAAAATTTTGTATTAAAAGACAATGTGAGATTCCCTTTATCATATGAAACATAAGTCATTGAAATCTATGAAAATGAGATTTGTTTTGACATTTTACATGCACTTTTATTCGCCCCTTTTCTTATGAAAGGTTTTGGTAAAAATGACATTAAGACAATGTTATATTACAATATAAGTGATATACAAGAAATATGATATAGTCATAAAGAAAACAAACAACGTCATGTGATAAAACATTATCGTTCAACAATAGGGGTGCTTTCAGACTCCTAAAAAACCTGTATTGCAATATTATGAATATATTGCAATACAATCAAAGTATATAGCAATACTGAAGGTACAGGTTATCTGAGAATCGTTGAAACTTCCACATACCAGCAATTATACTTTAAATATGTTTGAAAGGTTAACTTTTCAAAAATTCTTTAAGCCTTAATCAAAGCAAAAGAAAAAAACTTGTTTGTACATTTATAATATTGCAGTTCTTGAAATATCAGAAATACATGCATGTATTTCGACTAGGTCTCACAGAATATATCGCAGTACAAGGGTTCCGATTGGCTGATGATGTATCACACAATAAATCGGAATATTGTTGCATCACTCATATATATACATTATCTTAAACGTGCTTAACATTTCAAACTTTAACCACAAAACTCACCTGCAATTCTACCTGTTGTACCTTTTCAGACATTGCCTGTAGTTCTGTCTCCTTTTTGGTAGTTCCTGCAGACAAACGGTCACAAGTTGACTTTAGTGTATCAATCTCACCCTGCTTCAAACTAACCATTTCCTTCACATCATCATTGGATTTTTGTAATTTCTATAAATAAAATGATATTAAATCTTTCATTATGTATATGTATTTAATGTACTTGCTAAAGTTTCTGTTTATGTTCACATTTACAATTATATCTATAAATAGTGATGTTTACATTAATATAAAAAATGGTTACAGTAATATAAATATTTACATTAATTTTCATGTTAACATTTATATCATTTTTGATATTTACATTAATGTTAACATTTATATTCATGTTTATACCTAGATCATAGAAGAGAAAGGTGAGCTTCTCCTCTCAGAAAGTGCAAGGGTCAGTGTCATCTATTTAATATATGGAAAACAAACAAACCACTTCCTTGAAATTTCTAAACTTCCATCAACATTTAAAAATGTTACATATGACATAATTTGATTACAAATTCATTTATTTATTGTTAAGTCTTGAAGTACTTTCACAATGTGCGTCATATATCATAAAACCATTATAACGAGGTTTTGAGATCTTGGATCCCAACATGAGCAATATATACAGGTTGCAGTGTAATTAAATTTTAAGTCAAAATACGATGTTTATTCACAAGAGAAACTTACGATTTCCAGTTCCTGCACTTTGTCGTCTGCCTTTGACTTTTCCTGTTTCATATGGCGTAAGTCATCCTGTTGAAATCAATAAACAAACATTTGATACGCAATTTGTAAACAATCTTAAGATGATTAAAACTGCTGGGAGTATAATTTATGTTACAATCCCAGGAGACTGTTGGTATAAAGGGACAATCGACACCCCCATTCCCACCCCCAACCCCGACAGACTTATAGCCGTTTAGAACCTCACTATCTAAATAAATGTAACAAAAACAACTTATTTCTGTGTATAAAGTAGAACTTAAATGTAAATGTAATAAATAAAACAAAAAAATAACAGAAATGTTACTGGATCTGTTTTTCAGAAATTAATTATACTTATAAAGCTTTACTGATTCATTTCATATCAAGCAGACTAATCTCAAAACTTTCTTACATTACATGCTTCCATAAATCAAAACAGCAATGCTTATAGTAGATAATATGTGTAGAATTTCCAATAAATAGCAAAAATGAAATTGCTTGCCCTTTGTAATAAAATAGTCTCGACCTTTACAGAAAAGTACATGAAATATTAGGTTAAAATATTTATAAAGAAGCGGATGAAATTAACGGAACTATTTTTGCAAATACTGTATGCCTGGAATTACAGTTATGATAGTAAAGAAGCTGTAAATATAAGCATTACTTAGATGATCTCAGCTTTTTTCTGTCCCATGGTGAGTAAATTACGAAGCCTGAACCCGGACTCGGAACCCAATACCCTCCTGAATACATGACTCAATATTGCAGCTTGACAGAATCTTTTACTTAAACTATGACTTAATATAAGGTTTGAAACCCGTAAGACTAATGGATCAAAACACAAAATGTAAAAAAATTTTGTACAGAGAAACCTGTATAGAGCCTTGGTACATCAACAAACACTATATACAATGTTATCAATAATTTCTTTAGTAGGACTTCACAGTGAATTAACCGTCCTTTTCAGTAGCAACTAAAATCTTTGTTACCTAAATGGCTTTAACCCTGCACAGGTTGTACTCTATATAAAAATTATTGTCTATTAACTAAATTGAAAAAAAGATAAAAATATTCGAACTTCTAAAATCCAAATGACGTAAATGTATTCAAATGACTAATAGCCTATCCAAGAAAAAACTAATAAAAAATATATAAAAGATAAGCAAAATGCCTAATTTTTTACAGCTATGTATTCCTAGAAATCACCTGAAATGACTTGGTCAGTGGCATCTACAATAACATATCACACAAACCATAATCTAGCAAACACTATCTTATACTATATATGAGCCGTGTCATGACAAAACCAACATAATGGGTTTGCGACCAGCATGGATCCAGACCAGCCTGCGCATCCGCGCAGTCTGATCAGGATCCATGCTGTTCGCTATCAGTTTCTCTACTTGTAATAGGGTTTGTAAGCGAACAGCATGGATCCTGATCAGACTGCGCGGATCTGGATCCATGCTGGTCGCAAACGCACTATGTTGATTTTGTCATGACACGGCTCATATTATATTATATTTTGATTTTATTTATTTTGTCATATATTAATTGCAACAGAAAAGCATTAAATTTTATGAAAATATCAAGACATTTGTAATAACGCCATGAATATTTTATATTCTTCTAAAAATGCTGACACACCAAAATCATTATAATTTCTAGCAAATACTTAGACATCATGAATAAACTTTAATTTTATCATTTTCATGCTTCAATGTTAAATTCTGCTGAAGCAGGTGCTTGGGGGCATGAACAGTAGCATGCAATCTTTACTATCATCCATGAACAGGCTCAATCAAAGAGACCCTGAAATATTTTCCATTTTTCCCATTTTGACTGTCCTTTAATTAACAATTCAGTTTTTCTCTCAATTACCGTATATGTAAAATCTAGTACATGATGAGGTGGCATTATTATGAAGTATGACTATCATAACAATTAGTTAGCAAACAAAACAAATATACCTTCATGCTCTGAAATAACCAATATTGCATAGGTTTAAACAAAATTTTAATGTATTTAAGGTGTTGCAAAAATAAAGACTGGGAAAATGTAGCTTAAAGACTCAACGGTGATATCTTTCAATTTAAGTTCAATATAAAATATTGAACTTTTTGTTGTTTTGGGATACCTGAGGAGTGGAGTTGGAGATTGCAGTAACCAATCAATAAACAGAACCCCTGTGATATGAAAGTAAGTTATATCATAATTATAAGAATTACATTATAATTCTAAAACATAACTAATTTAAAACAGATATGTCAGCTTATCTGGTTTCATACTGGTGGCTTAGGCCAAACATTTTTTATTACGGCATCAAAAAAGTTAAAACTTCAAAAAGCCAATCATTAAGATTCTCAACACAGGCATTCATAAAAAATCAACAAACACATGATTTAAACATATGACTTTACATATTAGCTAAATTAAAACGCATGTTAGAGAGTTCATGAACAATGACATGGATCACAAAACACAAATTTACATGATTAATTTATCATAATTCAAAGAAAAAAAAAGCCAAAACCATTTCAACAGTATTAAAACTGGAGTTAAAACTTGAGAAAATTCTCTTGAATAATATATAACCTTTTATTAATACAACATCCAGCAAAAAAGCCAATAAATTGTTAAGATGCCATAGAGAGCTGTTAAAATCAACATTAAATTCTTCACAGACAAAGGGAGATCACTCCCTCTCACCTGCAGTTGAGCTATAGTCTGTATCACCTATTCATTAACAAAATTTTAGTACTAGACTGTTCACTAGGCTGGTCTTTTATTGTATCTTTGGTTTACATAGAATTTATTTTAGTTTGATCCTGTAGGAATCTATAAGTGGAACTAACCAGTACTGAGTAATGAGTGTAATTTTTGCGCAAGGAAACGACAACTTGCCCCTGACAGGGTTTGAATCCATGCAGTGATTATTAGATTACTAGTCTGACGTGTTTACCACTCAGCAATGCCCCTGCTTATTGTATCTTTAACCATTAACCTGCTGAATGTGTGTAATGGATTTGTCCAGAATTGAATTTGGAACAGTACAATTAATGTTTTAGGAATTTCAAATACAAAATACAAAAGTTGCGACCGACAGTAAAAAGCTTGGTCATACTGCACTGATGTGACTTTAGCCTGGCCTGGCTCTATATCTGGTAGTTCAAGTAAATCACTTTCAGATTCAGCAGGTTATAAGTTTAAACTGCATCCATAGTTTGGATGAAAAAGACATCTTAAATGTTAACTTAGCAACTTACGATTACTAATGGAAGTTAGAAATCAGACAAGCTTTTTGTCAACTAAGTATAATAAATCTTTGGCAGAAAAAAAATGGCAACTAAAACATAAGAGAATTCAGGAGTGTACTTAAAGATCTGAAAGCTGATAGACATGCTAAGAAATACAGAAGGAATTTAGAACTACTACTATTTCATGCAACACGGTCCCGAGACTAAAGTTAAAGATTTCCTGGTTAAAATTTCTATAATCTACTGTATTGAACCCAAAATGATTTAATAATTAATTCACATGCTTAAACTAGATATAAATTTCTAAATCAACACACAAATAATTCAAACCTGACTACTCAAAACTGAAACATTCTAAGTCAAAGAAAACTAGTAAAAAATTTCATTCCCAAAAAGTAAAGTTCTAGAATTAGAAACTATATCAAGGACATGAAATCAATGAAATCTATTTATAGAAACTTAGCCCAATTTAGGTCAAGGCCACCTATTCTTAGAATTACAATTACCTTAAGGTCTAGGACAGCTTCTTCCAGTTGTTCTCTCTCATTTTTTAGATCTCGAGACCTGCCTTCTGCCAACTGAAATTCAACACTTTTCATACAGTTAAAATTATCAAAATTTAGCATTATATTATTTATTTAATGGAATGCCTTAAATTTTGACATTAACATTTCATGACTCATTTATGTGTGTGACTCTAACACCACAAATAAGGTCAGAAATGAATTACATTTTCAGTGAACAAAGGGAAATGGGAACAAAATTGTGTTTGCAACTTTTGAGCATAAAACATTAACATTATCTTATGTGCAATTTAAAACCATGTTTCACAGCATGCCTTTGTAAATGCAATAAAACAGAACAAACAATTTGATGTTCATTTTAAAATATAAATTGGCGAACAAAATAAGAGCATTATTGAAATACATGTAAAACAAAAATTTTACCATACCTCTCTGAGACGATCATTTTCAACACGGAGACGTTCTTTTTCATGTTCAGCAAGTTCCATTTGTTGTATGGCTAAATGTTTGTTGTTCTCCAGGACACTGATTTGTTCCAACGATCTCTCGTAATATGCTCGTACATTTGATAATTCTTTGTACAGTTCGTCATAGTTCTAGCAGAACAGAAAATGTTACATAATGTCTATTTTTAGCACTGATGTTTTAATTTTATAATTGAATGAAAGTTGTTGAATGGTTTACACTAGAATTATATTCATAGGACAAGAATAGAGCCTATTCTTCAAATTTGTAAAATTATTAATATTTTTTTCTTCTAGACATCTGTCAACTCATTCGAAGGCACAAGTTCTTATTTCTTTTAAACAAATTATCACTGTAAACAATTCAAAAGCAGAAGTGTTTTGTTTTTTTCCTTTTAAACAAATTATCACTGTAAACAAAGTACTAAGTCAGAAACAATAAAGGTATGTTACATTTTTTGAGTCATGCAAGCTCTCCTCTAGAAGGCGCCGTTCCTCATCCTTCCGTTTGACGCCTTTTCTGATCCGCGTCAATTCTTCTTCCTGCTCAGCAATCTGCTCTTCTAGTGCGATCTTTGTCTACAATGTTATTAAAAGAACAATTATTAGTGCATGAGTACTCAATTTCAACCCTTTCTATCAAGACATTGAAGTCCTTGCCATCATGTATTTATAACAGATTAAATTATTATGCAGTAATTCAATAACTGTCAATTTCTCTATCAAAGCATCTGAATTATATTTGATCAGGGTAAACACAAACAAAATCGTCAAAATCAACAACAAGAACAACAAAAAAAGAAAAGACAATGAGGAATTAAATTTCATTAAATACCCTTGATGGTGTTATTAATAAATAAATGCGGAACTATGCAAAAAATCAAGTCATATGTAATTTCAAGTAAAAACAGTTATGCAATATCATGTATTAAACTGACCGATCTTGTTGCCAACCAACAATATTTTTGTTCTGCCTAAACTTTACACCATAATCACGTCAGGCCATTTTTACAGCCTATCAAAACTATTTGGTTTTTCTATTACAACCTTCACCAATAACAAAAATATCTAATCTAAAATTTAATACTTCCTTGAAAGTCACAGCAAATTCCCCCATACTTATTATCATTACCTAATGACAAAAATGACTTCAATCTGAAAGTTAACACCATATAACTAACATCTAAATACATGTAATAAGAAACCCAAATTCGCCATCGCTAAATCTAGAATTCAGTAACATTTACAAAAACAACATTGTCAACAAAAAATAAAGCAAGGTTTCAAAGTTTTTGTTGGTCTTTTTTTTTTCTGCTGAAGAAATACCATGCAATGGTTGAATAACGATATCTAAAAGAAAACTTTTCCCGCTATAATATGGACTTTATTTTTTTTTCCTAATATTTTCAAGCATTTTTTTTCCCTCAAACTTTTCATGCATTCAAATTTCACTAGCACTACCACATGCGTTTCTTTCAAAGTGTATCAGTACTTGAATTTATGAATTCTCTTAATTTATCTCATGTACGTAGTAAATATATGAAAAGACAACTCCTGTAAGATGTTATAGTTATCTACTAAGCTAAGTTTATCTCCCCTTGTCCCTATGTCTATACATAAACTACCTTCTCTATAAATACAAGTCTCTGTAAAAAATATATATATTACACTAAATATTATCAAAACAGCTTTCTTTTCACATTAGTTTGTTTGTTTTTCTGGTTTTTAAACATTTTACCACGTTGGCAAGTGACCCACCTAATGGTTTCAACTGGATAACAAACCAGTAATTTTTAACTTTCACGCAATTGAACAACTACTATTTTTCACAGGATTTCTGAATCAGCAGTGAGAGGCCAATCAGACTCAATGTCCGAAACCATTTGTAATAGAGAAATTACGCATCACTCGAGGATCAAACTAATGATGCATGGCTAAGCTGCAGACAGACATTTATTACTTTCTGACAGAAAAAACAACCAATGAAATCCTTTCAATCCACAATATACACAAAAAACTTCAAAATTTCATATGGTTTTCTTTTTCTAGCATAAATATCAAATATTCAATGTTTTGTTGTGTTTTTATGTTACTAATTGTCCTGCAAATTATATATAAAACAAAGTATAAAAACATGTTAAATTTAAAAGCATGCCTTAACAGCAAGCAAGCATTTAAGACTGAAATGGAAATGTTTTCAACCATTTTTAGTCCTTCTAAAAAAACACATTATATTTATATTTTGCATAATTGCCATCAAATATATGCTAGCAAACTTTCTATCTAAAACTCTATACTCTAGGCATGATATTTTTGCAAAATTACAAAGAAAATTTAAACATTCAAACACTATTTTCAAAGGGACATAACTCTAAAGCAATCATAGCAAACAAATCCAATCAACTTCACCCTAATACCCCTTCATCTCTGTATGGAACATTCCATATGATTTTTTTTTTAAATGACAAAGTAGTATCAAGGGGGAATACTCTGCTAGACTTGTTTGTATCAAAGGGGGGACCATCTTAAATTAATACTCTTCTAAACAAATGTCACATGTTGGTAAAACAATCTGCATCGTTTTAAATGTTTACTAACTTCAATAATTTTTTTTTACATTTCAATAGATTGGCCTATGTATTGCTGTAATGAACTGCCTTTTTTTACCAAACTTTTCACTGAAATAGTTGCTCATTCTTTTGCTTTGAATTATGCAATGTTAAAAACATAACTAATTATTGTCAACTCTTTATCTAATGCAAGAAAACCTTTGCTTGCATCACTACATCATTTGTAACGAAAGAAAATCTGGCTTTAACACCGTTTCATTTGTTATAGTATGTTGGTGCATGCTAAGAAATTTATAATAAAAATTCTACAATTTTAATCAGGAGTGTGGGATTTGAACCATTGACCTGTAAGAATATTACATTGATGTAAGGATATAAGGTGAAGGTCAAATCTCTAAACATTACCTTTACAAGCCTCTAGTAACAAGAATGTAATATAATACCATTTTATAAATTAGATTTAAGAAAAAAAGCTATGAAAGGTGAAAAAAGTAATATAAAAATGCTAAAATAAAGAGGAGTCTTAGTTTCCCAATTTGCTACATTATCAAATTATGTTGGACAAGTAAGTTTAAATGAGTGCCATCATTAATTTATGTATTAGTTATAAATGATAATTTTGATTGATTATATGGTCCAGTCGAAATGTAGGTTTTTATTATACTGCACATTTGTAATGTCACTTTTCATTGGATAATCGTGAACATCTATATAGTTGTGTATACACACTTTCTTCTAAAAAAAAGGAAGTTTTCTGTATTATAAACTATTATATATCATAAATTATATTTCAAAACAAATGCTTATATAGAGACATAAAACCTGTCAAAAAACATTACAAATGATAAAATAACCTGTGCATTAAGGCAAATGATAATTTTCAAAGCATGGCACTCTTCTTACACGTAATTGAAGTTTTCCAGCACAAGTGAAAACTTGAGTAAAATCAAATCTCCCTATGCAAGAAAAGTTCAAACACACCAACAAGAAACAATGTTCTCTGTATCAAACTGGTTCCCTGAAATGATTAGTTCCCTGAAATGCTTGGTTCCCTAAAAAGCTTGGTTCCCTAAATTGATTGGTTCCATGTAGCAAAATGGGAAACAAAGAATTGTAAACATTAATAAGGCCAAAGCTATGACACTAGAATGTGTCAGTCACCAGACTTAATCAAAATTTATAAAACACTGCCTCAAAAGTGCAAAACTATTCATAACCTTATACATTCTACCGTATATAAGTACAGAAGGATATAAAATAGTTTTGCACTAAGACAATAATGTATACAAAGGACCTTTTCCACTAAATCTTTTTTCTGTCTCAATTTTTTCCATCCCTGAGAAAAGGAAATTTTAATGATTAAACATTATTTATAATTTTCATAGAAACTTTCATTTTCCAATATATCATTCTTTTACAGAACCTGACTTGGTACAATTTACATTTAATTGGCACCAGGGCACCATTATTATCTTCATTTTTTTTTATGACCAATTGGGAACAAAATAGTGGTTTGTGTTAATATACTGCCATGCTTCATCTACAAACAATATACACTAATGCAGCCTTCAACTTTTCAAAGATTAAATAAGTAATTTTTAGATAAATCATTTCAAATAAATTTCAAATCAAATGCATATAGATGGAAAATGAAATTTTTTGCAGATAAAATATGTAAACACTAAGGACACCCCTTGATATCTGTCCACCTTCGATATTTAAATTAGTATGATGGTTAATTTGTTAACCGATATTCTATTTTTAGAAACAAACGTCACTGACACGTTACAATTAGCTCTCTTTACGCTGTTTTAAGGAATTACATAATTACAGTATTATGATGCACTTTTCAAAAATAAAATAAAATTACTGAATTTCTTAGTCTGAAACTACACAGGATTGTTTTTTCCTGAAGAAAATCAAAGCTGAAGGCATCTTTAACTTGGTACCAATTACTTCTCTTTCATGTCTCTTAATTTTTGGTTACCATTTTGTGATTCATCTGAGCTCAGAATCAGTTATGGTCAGATTTTTGCAATACATCATTCTTGATATCAAATAAAATTAGTGCTCGCCAATTTTTTCAAGCCAATCACCGACGAGGATTTTTCAAATTTTCAGGTTTCAAACCTTAATAGAACAGATTTTATATAAACTGGACGTTTTATATTATAAAACGCAAGTGGGCGGAGCTAAGTTTCGAAGAGCGCTAAAGTGAAATATACGCATGTGCAGAGATCTTGAAGTTTACTCCTACTAATCAATATTTATGCATCATGTTTTTTCCGTACACGCACATGTATATCGTCACTACGGCATAGAATTAAAAAAAAGGTTCATTGAAATGAAAACAGGCAAAATAACAGTAAAAAATGTTTTATTACTTACGGAACCAGTATCATTTTATAATCTCCAAATAAAAAGTTCACTTATTCCAACAAAGTATGTATGTAATATTTCTTACTTTTATGTAAATATTACAGCCCGTGCCGCTGCAAAACCGAAAGTAGTGTGTTTTTATTAATTTTACATTTATTTTTGACAATATACTGCCATTTGTCCGAAGATGATATGTATATGAACATAATAAATATGTATGATGCATATATAATCAAGCTATGTACAGGTTCATTTCAGCCCGAAAAATATGTCGAGGTGACAGGCGAGGCAAGACATGTCTACTTTTTGTAGCTTATTGTGAAGTTGCATTACATGAAAATCGGGCACATGACAAATCAGCATATATATAAAACATTCTAGTGTTCCGTGGTCAGAGCTGCATTACTGGTACTGGTACTGGTACTGCAGTACGTACTGCAGTGATTTTGCAAGTACTGGTACTGATACTGAATTACTCTTACAAAATTATGCTACTACTGGTACTGGTACTGCATTACTGTCTTAAAAAGTGGTACTGCTACTGCATTACCCAGTACTTTTGGTTTTGATAAAAATTAAAAATAGCATCATTTTTTCTCATAAAATAAAGCTGTAAATTACATTAACTATATTTTATTTTTGTAAAAAAGTAAGTTATCAAATCTAAAGATAATTTGCTGCAATATTCATTCAAATGTTAACATAGTATTCATCATAAAAAGCACCAAAGACTTTAAGTAAAAATTAAATTAAGATAAACAGACTAAATAACTCTTTACCCTAAAATATCCTTATTGAAATCTTTTATTACTTTGTATTTACTAGTAAAAGAGCAAAATAAACACTTATTAATTTCTTCTATTCTAAATAATCCCATTTCAAGTGAAAAAAGTGATATTGTTAGCACCATAAAAAGTTGTTATTTACTTTGGTATAAATTGAACAGAGGTGTGAAAGGCAACAAAAAACTGTTGTGTTTTAAATGAAAGATGTTTGCATTGTATTTATACAGTTGACTGGTTACTAAATAATTAGATATGACATGAATATATGTTGTAAATATTGTTTGTAAAAAGTATGTTAAAACTATAAAGTTGTAAATATGTTTTGTTAACTTTAAAGTAAATTATGATTTTATTTCTTTGCTGAATAATACTTGCAATTATTTGTTTGACACTGTATTTATTCAAACTTTGATGAATATATAAAAGTAATGGTACTGATACTTAATTACTTCACCAAAAAAAGTACTGGTACTGCAGTACCGAGCTAAAATCTAGTACTGGTACTGGTAATGGTACTGCATAATTTGCCAAGTACTGGTACTGGTACTTAATTACTACACCCTTAGTACTGATGCAGCTCTGTCCGTGGTATATATCTTTTCTATGTGTCATACCTCCTTTCCATATTACAATGAATTTTTACTGCATTGTTATCCATCGCATGACCTGTGTATGTTCAAAGAGGGTACCGTTTTGAGAATATTTCGCAAAGAGGGTACCGATATGGATATGCACCATGATATTGTCTGAATGCGGGAATATAAAGCTATGCAAAACACGTGACCCGAAAATGTGTACCGCTACCTCTTTCAAATATGGTTATACACATTTAGGGCTATCGTGTGACGTCACGCAGTGTGTTGGGCGGAAAAAAATGGGCGGAGCACTAAGCCGGTTAGAGTGCGTATTGGATGTTCTTCGTAAATAAGAAAGCTACAGTCGCTTCGCAAGCTCCGCTCCTTTTTAGCTTTCTTATTTACGAAGAACACCCAATATGCACTCTAACCTATACATAGATGTGAAAGATATACAGAAACAACAGATAAAATAAAGAGTATTTCATCATGTGTATATATAGACAGACAAAATTATTATAGTGATCATAGAAGAATAGTTGATTCACACAAGGTTGTAATAGTGAGGTAAACACACTTATACAGTTAAACCTGTGTCTTCAAACTAACCTTGAAGTCATATACCATGAAATAAGAAAAGAATCAATTTTGCTTCCCACAGACGACTTCACCACAGAAAAACAACTACCGCTCTGAGGCTAATAAGAAAAACAGTAACTTTTCAAAAAGAGCAGGTGGCTTGCAGGACAGGTCTAACTGTATAATTTATTCCTGAAAAATGATAACACTTTGTACCTTTTCAATTTGTTCCTTATCAATCATAAGCTGTTGTGTTTTAGACGTCATTTCCATTTTCTCGTTAAATAGTCGATCTCTTTCTGTTGCCAGGTTAGTTACACGCGCTCTCGCCTCTCGGTGATTTTCTTGGTTATTGTCAATCTCTCGAACCAACTTTTGCTTTTCCTGGAAAGAAGGGTTAATCAAGAGATACCATTTTGTTTTTTATGCTAATTTTCTTAACAAAGCAATAATTGTATTTACATATACCGATCCCTTTTTAGTTTGAAATTTTAGCAATTGTTTTGAGGAATTTCAATAGCAACTATCTAAGCTTCTAACATGTTCCTTTTTTAATTTAGAGTTTTTTTCTCTTCAAATACCAGTACTTCTCCTAACCCTTTCAAGAAGGTAGTCATTTTGCTATAACAACTGAGATAAACAAAACCTATGTGCAATGTGTTTTGAGCGATTCCCATCTATTTATTATTCCAAAGCAATGACCTTTATGAACCAGTATACAAGGGAAATTCAATGAAAAATAGTTTTCTGTACCTCTGCAAGCTGTTTCCAAGAACTGGCCAATTTTTCATTCTCCTCCCTCATGGACTCTGTGAGATCTTTGAGTTCATTTAACTTACTTGTGGCTGAATGAGCTTTGTGTGACAGTCTGTCATTTTCCTGGAAAAATATACATGTAAAGTGAATAACAGGTTTTTAAAAAAGGTCATTTTATTGTAAAATGATATATAATATTTATATTTTGTCATTCAAATGGGAAATAATTACATTGAATGGTTAATTGAATGGTTGATTTCAAAGTAAGCTCATTTTACAGTAGGAGAACATTATAGTCTGTTTCAAAATTCATTATTACATTAATGTTGACTGGTTAATATTTTCTTCCTGGTTTACAGCATTTCATAGACACAAATAGCTCCATTGAGATCATTGCCACAATGCGCAGAAATAAATTTTGAGATTTTCAATAAAATGAGTAAGATGGGTGGGGTATTAATTCACAACAATGGTGTTAAGTGATAAAACAAGGATGCTTACATTTTGTGCATTTTTTTGTATAAAACTTCACATACAAATAATTATTTAATTTCAATATTTTCGGATTTATTCCATTAACAGTAACTGTTATACAATGTAAGTAGCACACCACTCTGGACACATTACAAATGGTACATTACATTTTTATAATAAATGAATACTTTTCTTCAGTTTGCTGTCACCAACATAGAAAATACTATTCTATTTTAAAATACAATTCTTTGGTTATCTGTCTATAATACAGACTACTGTTCTAATTCAAATAATTTCATTCAGTACACATTAATTTTATTTTGTATCATGATAAATTTGTTTTTTTTTTTTTTAATGAACTTTCAGTCCATTTTAGTTCAACTTGATACAATAATATTAATAATATAAACATATACCCTTAATTTTGCTATTTTTGTATCAAAACTGTTCATTGCAATTCAAAGCGCAATCAAATACTTTACCCTTTTGATAGAGTTAATGACTTTTAAAAGAGTCAAATGCAAAAATAAAATACTCAATAACCTAGTCATTTAATAGAAATCTCATCACTTGATAGAATACAATGCTCAAATGTAATTGAATAAAACGCTTAATAATCTCTTCACTTGATAGAATGATATGTCCAGAGTAAAATTTGGGAACAAAAATTTAGCTATCATACTCTCTCAGCCAATGAAGAAAACCCTCAACCAAAGACTCCAAATAAAATCTAACTATTGATAAATCTACATTTCTATTTATGTATATTGTAATATTAAAACTATACACTTAAGAGACAAAATGTTAATAAACTGTACATAAGTTTAAAATACACAGTTAAAATTTAATTCATTAGCCGACTTATCACCTGCTCACCTATTAATGTTCAATATAAAATTTCTAAAACAACTTTGAACAAATACATGTACATACACAGGTGCATTACTAAACTCCCTTTTTACTTATTTTATGTTTGTTATATATTTTACATAAGGAAAATCTTTAAAATATCATTGAACATTTTAAGAAACATTAAAAAAAGTAACCTAATTCTGAGCTAGGACCTAGTAGGTAAAGTAAAGTTATTTTCTTATTTGCGAATGAGTAACCCCCTCACAATTAAAAAGTTTGTTAGACACGATGGTACAGGACGTAAAAAAAGGGGTAATAACTAACAGATGCCTTACCTCTTTCATTTCTAGGAATGTCTATATCATTACAAAAAACACATGATGAATGAAATTAATAATAATGCTACAATTTTTTTTTAAGAATTGTTTCATTTTTATTTTTTGCTGAGGGAAAAATATTGTACCAATCCAGCAAGTGCAGAACAAGGTTAGCCAGCAGACAAATCTGTGCAGTCTGATCATGGTCTGCACTATTTGCTCTTAAGTCAGCTTAGAATCTGGAGATTATCATAAAGCTGTCATTGAAATCCAAAATTTTACAATAAATACTGTCATAAAACCTTAAGACCAATGAAGATCCCTTCAACTAATGATTGAAATACATATATCAACCTTTAGGTTATATATAAAATGAATTGTCTCTGCCTCACACCTGGGGATTGTAGGTTTGAGCCCATCTCACACATAACGTCACCTTAGTGCAGTAACGGGCAACTCCTATAAAGTTATATAAGGATTTAACCTGTTACTGCACTAAAGTAACAATATGACACAAGTATTGGTTGGTTCTAAAGAAAGGACCAACTTAAAGTAATTTGAATGCGCTTCAAGCTTTTTTTCACAATCAAGCTAATATGTAAGTCAGTATGTTTAAACAAAGTAAACTTTGTTAGCATCTGTATCACATTCTTACCTCTTTAATTCTTTCTATTTCATGTTTATAACTTTTATTTTCTCCCTCCATGGGTCCATATTTCTCTCTAGCTAACTCCAGAGCTTCCTTAGCCACCAATAATTCCTGCCGTAATGTATCTTTATCCTGAAATAAAGAACAAAAACAACATATAATAAATATAACTTTATCCTTAAATAAAGAACAAAAACAATACATATAATAAATATAACAAAGACAGCATGCTTGACTATTCTCAGTGCTTGACAGTAAAAAGTTAACTCAGAGTTACAGGACCTGTGTCCATAATGTAAGATAATCACAGAGAACAAGTGTGTCAAGCTTTAGCCCATTCCACTAATTAGATTTGGAGATACCAACAGGCATGCAAAAACTTAGAAAAAGTGCGATTGCAACACTAATCAATGTTAGGGCAATTTCAATACCTCTCCCTATTCTTCTAATAGCCAAACAAACAATTCAAGATAACAAGATCTGTCGGAGGACAGTAACGCTCAACTATGCGAAAAGTTGTCACAAGGGTGTTTCATTGAGTATAATAATGCTTACCTACATGAATACATAAAATTGTCCGAAAAGGTACAAACCCTTCAGTAGTTATGGAGATACCGTCTAACAAGCAAAAATTTACCTAGAATTTCTAAGTCAAAAAAGGGGCATAATTATGCAAAAAAGCAAACCAGAGTTATGGGACTTGTGCCATTCATCTTAGATAATCACAGAAAACAAGTGTGTGAAGTTTCAATCCATTCCCTTCCATTATGGCCCATTATTGACCTTCAGTAACCTATATTTCAGCCAGATAGCTTTCTTTCATGAAAAAACCCAAACACCCTGACATGGTTGTAACCCACAGCAGTGAGTGGTCAATGATCCAGTCAGCCACTTAAGCCATTTGGCCACTTGGCAACTTCAGCCACTGAGGCCCAGGTGTAAGTTTGTTAACTCGAAGAGAAATATTCTGATCAAGACATAAAAATAATAATGTATACATCTCAATAGCATAACTTACCTTTTTCAGCTTAGTGTTCTCATTTTCCAGTAAAGACAATGCTGTCGTACTTTGCTCTAGGAGATTGCTACGTTTAAAGTTTTCTGTCTCAGAGACTTGGTGCTGTGCTTGTAATGATCGCAACTGGAAGTCGAGCTTGTCAATCCTAATAAAACATAATTAATGTTATAAGTGTTAATAAGTTTAACATAAAAATAGATGAAACAAATAAACAAACAAGTAATAATTTAAATGTTATGTGCAGTATTTATCACCATATAACTACTGCATGACTAACACAGCAATTAAAGGGCTATTTAAGCATATTTGATCTCTTTTGGTAGTTAACTTGGATTGTAAGTGCCATTTGCAATGTGTAAATTACTTTCTATGTTCACTTCACAATTATTAACTTTTAAATACAATTGAAAATTAGCATGAATCTGTAGGCACGCTGCATTAAAAGTTCCTCTCAGTAATTTTTAAGCATAATCTTGTTTAAATGAAATTTGAAGTTTTACCTTCTTGTCTGGTAATTTTGAACATTATAATTATAGAAAAAGGAAATTTTCCAAACAAATTAATAACTAGATAGTGTGGCCCCTTTGTTGCCTAGACAACATATACAGTGTAAATACAATGTCAAAATTTGGATTCAACATTTTACGCAAAGAGCACAAAGACAAATTCAGCCAAATTTTCATTGCTAGCAACTAAAACAATCAAAACTCTATAGTGTAACTTTTTTCCTCTATTTGGTTAGCTTTTACATTACGCCATAGGTCATATGGCGACTTTCCAGCTTTACTGGTGGAGGAAGATCTCAGGTGCCCCTTTGTATATTATTTCAGGCACAAACGGGCACATGAGTAGAACCATCAACATTCCGTAAGCTTACTGGATAGCTTTTTTACTTGAAAAGCAAGTTGTTTGAAATCAACAACCTGAACCACTCGGCCCAGGACGACCAAGATCAATCGTAATAATTATTTTATCCCCGATCCCACATGATTTCTGATTCAGGGATGACAGACAATTAACAATTAGATCAATTTAACTATCCGGAAGATCAAACTAGGGACCCCTGAATTACAAATCAAATACTCTCTCAATTGAGCTTAGCAGACGGGACAAATGTTCACTACTAAACCAATGACACCTCAAATTAACATAAATTCTGTATTATATAAAGTACCACCAGCTAGTTACAAAATAATATGTCACACAAAAACAAGCTGCTGTGTCCTTTTGCAATAAGGCAAAATCATAATTATTTGTGGGAAACTAATCTTTGTTGTTTTAGTGGATAGGTCAATCCACAAATTAAAGATACAACAAAATTTCATTTTGTCTGCTGTAAGATTATTTTGCATCACATTATTTGTGTTTCAAGGATGATAACTCTTTTTCATATTGCACCAAAAGCTCTAACAATGACAATGAAAAACTATTGTGTATATCTAGCATACTAAACATATAATACCTGTAATCATGTCTGGAATTATGAACAAAATAATTGAAGTATAAACTACAATAAAGACGGGATATTGTCACAAGGTGGGCAAATTGATGAGCAGTTTGTAAAATAGTGCACTTGTGTTGTTTTTTGTGTGTGAAATGACACATAAAGTATAAACACTAACCAGTACAATGAAAAATTCAGGTCAAAGAGGAAGCATTAAACTATGCCAAAATCTTACTTTTCCAACAAAGTATTGTATTTTTAATGAAAAGCAAGTTCTACTTCTTAAAGCACCAATAGTTAATAGGTATTAAAAGCTGTTAGCTACTGTGCTGTCATGACAGAACAGTTAAACCGAAAGTTTTCCGCCATAAAAAAAGGAAAGTTAAATCGGAAATTAAAATATGCTCGGCCAAAATATTTCTCAGACCATAAAAATTCATGATTATTTTATTACAGTAAACGTTACCTATGTTGCATTTCTTCTCGTAGTCTGTCATTTTCTGATTTGAGATACAACTTGGCTTCTTCTGAGTGTTCTAAATGGTTGATTTTATCTCTATATTCCTGGAAATAATAGCAACACAATGTTATACTTTAAATTAATGAATATACTATGTCTATTTTAAACTTAAATAAGTCAGCATAAATTACGCAAAGAAAAATGTTTGAAAAACTTGCTTTCAAAAAGTAATATTTCTACAATTCATATGAGTGAGGCGAGCTTTGAATCTATCCCCTACCCTCTCTACACCTAGCGGAATGAGGCAGAACCAACTGTTGGTATTGCCCAGGTTTCCCACAGCCTGTACAGACAAATGAAAATTTTCAAAGTATACTATATAAATATCATACGGACAAGTTAAGAAATACTTAAGTTAAAATGGACAAGCATGTCAAAACCAGATTTTGCCTGCCCCTCTCCCCAAATTATGTTTCGATACCTAGACCTACCTTTTCTTTGTATTTCAGATCATCTACAAGCACCGAGTTTGTTTTTGCCGTTCCCTCAATCCTGTTTAATCTGTCATTTTGTAACTGTAATTATACAAATATAGACTGTGGTAACTGGCATATAATGCTTAACTGTGTACTGAGCTTAAAATAGAAATGAGCCGCGTCACGACAAAACCAACATAATGGGTTTGCGACCAGCATGGATCCAGACCAGCCTGCGCATCCGTGCAGTCTGATCAGGATCCATGCTGTTCGCTTACCAACCCTATTACAAGTAGAGAAACTGATAGCGAACAGCATGGACCCTTTGATCAACTGCGCGGTCGCCAGGCTGTTTGGGAACCATGCGGGGCGCAAACGCACATTTTGGGTTTTTGTTTGACGCGGCCAAAATTTTTAAATTTTTTCAAAATAAAGTACAAAACATACAAAACAAAAAAATTGGCAAATTAAAAAATTCGTTAAGGACATTATTTCAAAGAAAGAAGTTAATCAGGTGGAAATGCCAATAACTAAAATTTGTCATTAAAAATCATGATTATTGATTTATCGTTGATTAAAAATTGATTCAAAATTTTGTGTATCAATTCAACTTATATTGTTACAGTCTGATCTTGGTCAGTCACTTCATATTTTAAAATTCTCCCTAAAAACAATAAAATGGATTTGTCCAAATTGACAAATGAAAAGATTTTTTCCATGAATCTGAACTTTTGCCCAAAAATAATTTGTAACTTTATCTTGCTGTTTATACATGTTTAAACATATTTATACATGTATATAGGATTGTGTAGCGAAGCAAATTCTTTTCACCATAATACAAAGAGAGAATGACAAACCAGTAACTCATTTATCATCTCATTCATATTCATAAATGACACTAATCCATTTCTTAAAAACAACATTTGAAATATAGAAACATAATGTAGTACTGGGTTATAAGATGCACTCCCTTACTCTATATTTGAAATTAGTGTCTCAAAAATGCGTCTTATAATTGGAAATATATGGTATGTGTAAGGTAAAAAGACATCAAGCAAAAGAGAACTTCTATGCAGAAAAGTACAAAAATTATTGAAAAATAACAAAAATATATTCATTTTATCTGATTAAAAAACCATCTATGTTTACATTGTAAGTGATATATAGTGACTGATACAGGTTTTATCTCACTGACAAAAACAAGTACTTTGCCGAAAAAGCACAGATTTTTTTTCTAAATTTTTTAATTAAAAAGAAATTCAATATCATTGTTTACCTTATTCTAGCAATAACACGAATATTTCATTTTATCAGCTAGATTTAGTTTTTCAGATAACAAAGTTTTCAACTTTGACAACTAAACATATGTTCTGATTACACATTATTGACATTTTCAAGATCATTTTTAAGTGTTTCATTTTTCTGCACATCATTGTCTTCTTTAACTTATTTATCAAAAAAAAATTCAAGATCACTTTAATAAGTGTTTTATTTTCTGCACATCATATCTAGTTTCATTAATTTATACAAAAAAAAAATAATCAAGAAACTCTTTAATAAGTGTTTCATTTTTCTTCACATCATATCTTCTTTAACTTTTTATAATATAAAAGTTAAGAAATAGTCGCAAATAAGTGAATAAAATTTTTACAGAAATTTACATAAAACAGGGTTTGAACCCATGCAGCCAGAAAATCTTTTGATTACTAGACCAATGCGATAACCACTGGGCCATGCCAGCACTCTGAAGTTTAGTGGCCAAGTCTTATAACTTTATAAATGTGGTTCGTGTTTGGTTTGTTTACCCTCACTGCCGAAAATTTTCCATATGAGCAAGCATATACTTCATGTAAAATGCATTTATTTCAAGAGATGTAATGTTTATTTCATCTATATAAATTTATATCTGTACATGAGCCTATGAGTGAGCACTTACTTCATTTATAACACTATTTTTTTCCACAGGAACTGACATTTCATTGGTCTACAGTTATACCATTACATGTATCTATGTGTGCCATGAATCCCTACATCAAGGTGGGTGGGGCTTACCAATTTCAGTGCCAGATAATTTCAAGTTAGCTCAAGTTTGCTCGAAATTTACACAAATGTTACCCTGTCTTTGATGAATTTAAGCTTCGCACCAAATTCAATAGGTTTTCCTAACTACATAAAAGTAAGTAAAACTAACATATACCAGATAATGACATTGCAAACACGCTATATTTACGACAAATATTTGTAAACATCGCAGTTATTATTCTTGTATTTATAAAACTGCCATAACATGTCGAGAAAATGTTTGCCAGTTATTTCAATCAAGTATTCAAACATTAATGAGATTCAAGTCATAAATTTCTATTGATTATGTAACATTTCACAATGTAAATGTTCAAACATGATGTGGAAGATAATCAAAGCAAAATACAATATTAAATCTATTTATATACCGGTAGGCTGCAAAACTTATATTGTTAAAGCATTTGTTTTCCATTCTATGAATCCTGTACACACTTGTATCTGGAATTTACTTTTCTAAGATTAGCAAAAGCAACATGCTTACATTTTTTTATGAAAACTTCAATATAATAAAACTTTGTTAAATAACTTTGTCAATTATACTTATAAAATGTTCAACCTAACTTAATAAAGGCACACTGGAAACATGGAAAAAATGTCACTTAAATTCTGATATTGTTCAGATTTCTGATATAAGATTAATATACTTTCTGTTTGATTTTTTTAAATTTGTTTTATCATTTTCTGGAGATGTCTGCTTTAACATGGGGAACCTACTTAAACGATGTGCATTTCAGTGAACAATAATTATGAAATTGGTGTTTAAGCCAAAAGGATTCTATCTCATAAACATATGTCTCTTAAACTAATTCAGCTAAGAAAACAATGGTACCAAAGTGATCACAGATGTCAAAAACATGCAAAAAAAAAAAATAGTTTTCGTAAAAAAATAAAATTTCCACACAGTAACTAAAATTTCCACACAGTAACTATTACCTCTAATGTTTCTTGTGCTTCTTTTAACTTATGTACCAAAACAATACGTCTGTTTTCACTGTCATCTAAATTATCTTTCAAGTGCCGCAGTGAATGCTCGAACGGTCGCATCCGGTGCGACTGTGTGAGGAGTGGGTCGAGGTCTTGGGAGCTGGTCATTGGAAGACGTGTCATGGAGCGTGATCGGTTCATTCTCGGAGATAAACTGTTGTAATCGTCGGATAAATATAGCCCTGAGCGACTTTTTGATCTAAATGTTGAACTGAAATTAATAATAAATAATGTTTTAATAGAAAAAGGTTGTCTTAATTTTACTTAGTGTTTGTGTCTTTCATTCATTTCATTTCTTTTCAATGAAAAAAATTTGTCCAAGATTTTCAGCAATTTCTTTTATTAAGGCAATCAAAGACTTTTCTTGTTTTACAAACTTGCATGTCAGAAATCTTTTGAAAAAAATATATTCCCTAAGTATAGAGAACAAACACAAATTTTATCTATAAATCTTTGGGAAATCAAATAATTCTTTCTACATGTAACAGAAATTAGGCTCATAATAGACATGACCTTTCTTTAATTCATTCCCTGTAAAATCAAGCACAGGTGATTCTTTGTTACTTATAGAGTACCCTGGGTCGGCTGAGGTTTTTATGATATGGAAGGATTGGAAATATTTTTTCGAGAATTGTGGACCATTTGCTGTAATTTTTGCCAGAACAATAACTTTGATTGTGCAAAATTATCAAAACATGAAAAGCAAAAATTCTGAGTATACCTTTTCATTATCTTTTGCAAAATAGTGCAGAAATTGATCTATGTACAAAATTTAAAATTTCATGATTTTATGCACTTGGAACTTAAAACTTAAAAGTAATACAATTTAATCAAAATTTAGAAATAAATCATTTTCTTTTCTAAATTTTATAATATTATAAACAACTTACTTAAAACCACTGTCATCATCAGGAAACAACGAGAGCATAGAATCCTGTGGATTACCTCCCTTTAATGAGTTGAGGGATGTTCGCTCTGGACTGAGCTGCATCTGGGAACCGTAATACATTTCTCCGTTTTCTCGTGTTGGGAAGTGATCCAATTGGTCTCCTCTCTGAAAATGTAAAAAAATAAAGAATTGAAAGTCATGGTTTTCTCACTTTTTTTAACAAATGTCAGCAAGTTTCTTTAAAAGTGGTAAATTTCAGCATGTTAATACATTAAAGGCCCATTATGCCTTAGAAATGCCTTTATTTTCAATTTTCAGGAGATTCTGATAGTGTCCTGTTATCATTTCCAAAAAGTTACTCATTTCCTAATTACCTGACTTATCTTTTGATTCTGATGTTTTTTTAAAGTTAGTACAGTTATAGTAATTAAAAGAGCCGCGTCATGACAAAACCAACATAATGGGTTTGCGACCAGCATGGATCCAGACCAGCCTGCGCATCCGCGCAGTCTGATCAGGATCCATGCTGTTCGCTTACCAACTCTATTACAAGTAGAGAAACTGATAGCGAACAGCATGGATCCTGATCAGACTGCGCAGATGCGCAGGCTGGTCTGGATCCATGCTGGTCGCAAACCCATTATGTTTGTTTTGTCATGACGCGGCTCAAGTATTTTGTATGAAGTTAATGTAATACTTTGTTTACCTTTTGCTTCTTTTATGACAGGTTATTTCACCTTAAGCGCTACTTTATTCAGGTATCAAGCATCTGTAACATTCTCTCAAACCATTATAAAACGCATGCTTGCCCTTTCTAAAGAAGTACAATTTTTTAAGTTTCTGAGGCATATAGTGCCTTTTAGAATATTGGGAAGATTTATCCAATATATTAAATCTAACTTTTTTTCTAGATAATATAATAAACATAAAAATGTTTTTAAAGGCACATTAAGCCTTAAAGAAACAAATATGTTTTCTTTCTTAAGAAAGAGCTGACATGAGTTTTATAATGTTTAAATAAAAAATTTTTTAGAGTATGTTACATCGCAGCCTATCACCTAAAGAAAGAAGTGCTGAGTATAAAATTATTGCTATAAAAGGACCAGAAGTAGTATTTTGACTTCGATACAATAAAATACTAAATCAGTTTAACTTTACTTATTGCTAAATTAAATGCAATGAAAGCAAAAGATGGTTTGACTTACTGTAAACTATATCAGGATACCAAAGATAAAAAGATTTTGAGAAACAAAAATAAAAGAGTTTCTGAGGCACATGAGGCCTTTAACAATAAAACAAAGCCATATGTGTCTTTAAAGTGAGCTAGCTGAGTGAAAATATTTCTAATTTTGGGAATTGGTTAGTTCAAGGAATGATTTTAGAGTGCCTCGATCTATAAACCTTTAGTTTTGTACACAATAGAATTTTGATAAAGAATGTACATATCAAATTCATTTTTTTATTTTTAATGGGTCACCCATCCATACAAGTTAATATGAAACAAAAGAAAAATGTAACAAAAGTTACAGAAATGTATAAATATTCACAGTGCATGTGACATTTTGGGTGAAATTCGCAAAATATGACATAAATTACCATTTTTTTATCATTATCATCATACCTCATTACTAACAGCACAATCTGAGTTTCAGGGGTAACAATTAAAGCTTGAATGAATTTAAGTCAAAACACTCTAAATATGTAGAATTAAAACTTTGCAACTGCAACACTACTCAAACCTCGTATCTTTAATAATCCAAAAACAATTTATCAACTTTTAAACTCCAGAATGATATCATCAAACATATTATGTAAACAGCTCTTCGAGCTTAAACTCCAGCAAAGTCGGCAATTTATATCTCTATCTTATATATCACGTTTCTTCTATCTACACTAACAATCCATGCTAACAATCTACATTAACATACTTAAAGAAACACCTACATCAATATATAATGTCCACAAAATTCCATGTTTTCAAACGTGTTAAACAAACATTTAAATTCTATATCTTCGCCATAATACACAATTATCCATCAATAGCTCGCCAAATATTGACGGAAACAAGTACAAGAGTTATTCAGTTCTCAAATTTCCCTACGAAAAAGTTTCCGTTAAATCGAAAAATATCCCATTGACCTTTTTTTCATTCTATATAAAACAAGATCGTTCAGAAAACAGAAGTCTATATAGATATATATAAGGGTATATACAAAGCAATTTGAGCAATTTCAATCCATGCAAAAGTTAAGTACATGCGATCACAGTGTCAATAGACGTGGGTATTTACCTTTCAACAAAGGACATGATCAAATAAATATAATGATTTAAAACTCTCATTAAAACTGTCCTAAATCTTTTTTAAAATGTTAACAATTTCGCTGATCTTTTCAAATATTAAGCACTCTTGAAATCATTGAATTATTTTGATTTACACTCCATTTTTTTTCAGGGATTGTTCCAGGTAATAACTGGGTATAAACTCATCAATATTCTTTCTTCTTTCTGTTCATTTATTGTAGCATTTTGGTTGCAATTTTTAATTTTTTTTGTTTTGTTTGGTTTTACGGTGCACCGACACAGCATAGTCATATGGTGCCAAAACAGGAAAGATGATTTTGGGTAACTTCGGTTGTCAACGCCTAGGGTCAAAACCACTTTACCTGCTAGAGCCAAGATATATGCATAGACTCCAGTAATTCAAACCCATTTAGTGGCCTCTAATCAGGCAGGGATAAACAGTGGCTGCAATTCTGATGCCTTAACCTGTAAAGGCAACCCCTCAGACACAATGGGTTTACAAAAAAATATTTTTTTGTTTTATTTTCTTCTTTTTTTTTCAAAGCTAGTATTTATACACAAATGCTGCATTTGGGAACTTTAACTTATAAAATGGGCTTGTCATACTTCAAACTTTCTAGTGTCTAGAATTTTATATAGATGTTTCGCATGAACCTTTTGAAGATATAGCAAAACTGGGGACATTCATTATTCAACAGAACAAAGCTAACATCAAAAACATTCAAGAAATATAGGAACTTTTTTTTGTGACTATAGGAGGATAATGTTTCACTTTAACTTACTATTTTCTCACTCACAAAGTCAAATACATGTCAATGATATTGCAAAAATAAACTAAAAACTTCAGACTTTCCATTCATGTAAATTTTTACTTATATCAAAATGCATTGTATGAGCAAAAATATGGCATCTGAATTTTTTTGGGGGGATGGCGCACCAACACAAGTTAGGTCATATGGCGCTGAGGCAGAAAAGATGACCTTGGCTATAACCTCTATGTTACAAACTTTAAACAAAACCACCTTCCTTGCTGGAGCTAAGAGATGTTAAGTTGAACCCATTTATTTTCCTCGTCTATACTGTATCCATCCCCAAATTTCATAAATGAAAAGTTCCAAAATTGAAGTGGGTCAAGTCAATATCAGAAAATCCACAGGTTAAGTGTTTAAACTGTAAATTGAAGCTTCTTCAGCTAGAATACCAAGCATGCTATATTCAAAATGTTACAGATCAAAAATGTTAAAAGCCGAATGGTATTTTTACTGGTAATTAGTAACATTTGTTTGATTTTAAGGTCACCTCAGTTCAAAGCTCTACACCACACCTAGCTATAATACCATCAAGCTAATAGACTGTTTAAATAACTTCTTAAAAGAGGTAAATATAACAACTTGAATAGGGCATTTTTTTAATATCATAAATGGAAGTAATACAATAATTTCACTTGACAATGTCTGAAGTAATTTGCCCGTTATTTAGAAAACGACTTTGTCGCAAACCAACGAAAAACCATTTGATATATACCTCTATCAGCAAGTTTACCTTATCCAAACAAACGCCAAAAAGCACGAAACTATTCAATTGATTGAATTTATGAAAACCAGTAGGTCCAACTGTTTAATGCCTTTGAAGTGGATACTAGAGTGTAAATCAAAACTTACAGGGCTTTATTTTACTTACGGTAAAAATATTAAGATGTTATATAGGAAAACAGAAGGATTCCTTGATGTTTGCTTTATTAAGTTATTATCTATCTGACAAAACAAATCAAAGTACACAAAGTTATTCCTGGTTAAAGGCCTTCCCTTACCAACATTAGTTGAACCTCCCACCAGTTGTGTCTCACTTTGCCGTCACTAAAACTCACATATCATGTGACTAAATGGGGAATTTGGAATGTTACACAAACACAAAATAAAACTTCATAAAATAGAAATCTGATTCACGAAAATCATTTTTAAAAACATTTAAAATTTTATAACACAGACATAAAAAGAATATTCTAAAAATAAAGTTGTGGCAAATTTTTAACAAATTTTGTAAAAACAAATTAAAATAATGACTTTCTTTCATGCCTGTTGCTTTAAATCAGCAAATACAAAATAATAAATATATATAACATTCATGGTTTTAATTAAGTCATGCAATTATTTAAAATCGATCTAAAATTTATGATTCAAAATTCATTTTCCATACAGGAGTATACGGAATCAATTACCACCACTCCGTTCTCTATAACATTAGAATTCAATAAACCACTCTTAATACATATCTAATATGGTGTAAACTTTCCAACTGACATTCATTAGGGTAAATAATTAAACCAAGAAATTGAAAGGGCACCATTTTGAAATATTACCATGTCAAAAAGAAAGAATGTTGTCAAAATATCGGTATCGATCAGGCTTTTAGAATACGGAAAAAATATACTACCTATCTGATTTCGTATGATAATAAAAGATAAAAGCCTTGAATAAATAATTTATATCATGCATTCCTGGAGGGAAATTATCTTGTGTGCTTTACAAAAGATGTCATAATTGAAGTAATCATTTAACTTCGTATAGCCTTCAAGTGTTCAATCTTGTAAAGCAATACTTTAACAACAGTCTTTAAAGTCTCCCGCATTTGTTGTGGCTTGCAAAATTTTTATCAATATTATTACTTATAAAAATAATCTAGATCCTAGATTGCAGACAGGTGTTATTAAACTGACAGACCTATTTTGAATTTAAAAACATCAAAATTTTAACATGATCAACCCAGAGAGCCGATTTACTAGAAACCAAAATTTAATGCTGTCGTCAACTTTCTTTAACCCACCACACCCCTCCTCACCTCTCTTCCACCAATCCGCAAACCCCGGACAGTGTGGATGACAGTGGAAAAAATACGCCAAGTTTCAACATCTGTCCTACACTGTTAGATTAATGTGGCTGTTTCGCTTTGGTGCCAAAATAACATAGGATATTTCCAAATCACAATACTGGGACATCATTTTATCATGTCACTTGCGCAAGATTTCATTAACTGGTGCATTATATATTACATGACATAGTGTCAAGTTAAACTGTATAGACATAAATACTGGTCTTGGTTCGTACCATTGATAAGTCATATTCACTATAAAAAAAGCTTAGGTATCATTATTTAGTGGCATAAATGAAAGATTGAAATGAAATTCAAAACTGATCTGATTTTACTAGCTATTAAAATTGTTTGCCCTAATTACATGATCTGATCTTATGCAGGCTTAGATTTGTAAAAGATTAATTTCAGCATATAATAATTATACACATGACATTGTAATCTCAGACTATAAAATCTCCTGTATGAATAAATTTTTGTCAGTTCATTCAAATACCAATTTTCAATTCATTTACAGAAATTTACATGCATTATACTTATTTTATTACATGTTTTGCAGTCGATTACTGAATTATAACGGTTAATAATATTCTGATAATTTCACAGTAATGATTACCAAATATAATTTCACAGTAGCCGAACTATATTTGGCGTAAAAATAAAATATTTATCATCAATGAATGTTTTTTTCAGCGGAAATGTAGTCAATCATAATAAAAAATGTACGTGATAACTGTAGTTCGTAAATATTTACGAACGTTGTGCTGAAAAACATCTAAAATCTAAAAATAATCATGGAATTATATTTTGCTTCAACATTGTGACGTCATTATTTGATGACGTCATGAAGATAAGAGCATGACGCTACGCGGCAAAAATCAGTAAAATGGTGTAAAAATCGTTAAAAATCATGAAATAAACAGAAAATTTGTTTGTTTTACATGTAAGATCAAATAATATTTCACTCGTGAACCCCAGCTATTATATTTTCACTCGTGGCTACGCCTCTTGTGGAAAATATTGCATCTGGTGTTCACTCGGTGAAATGTTTTTCGATCTTACACTGAAACAAACAAATATCCTCTATATCTTACTAATTTTTTATTGGTTTTGCAGGAAATTTACATGTATTTTATTATTATACCAAATTTCTTTTATTCTTTTTACAGGAATTTACAAGTATTTTATTATATCATACCAATTTTCTATTTGTTTTGCAGGAATTTACATGTATTTTATGGGATCACACTGATCTTTCATAAACTGGCCGGTTTTATGAAGGAATTCTGACCTCTGTAAACCATGGTAAGAAGAAAGTGGTTCAAAATTTCCACCCTTAGCCATTATACATGTATATAGAATTGAATGAACAATGTCATCTAAAATTTGCTTTACCTAAATAGCTATCACTTTCAATCTTGCAATAATTAATAATCATTTCATTTATAAATATAGACTTGTAAAGAAATGGACAGGCCCTGTCTTTTGTTGGTGCAGAGAATTTAAATTGATATTATTATTTTACATTCTCACAACACTTTTGGACATAAACAAAACTGGTGTTGAATCAAGGACAGGTTTGAATCTTAATATAGTACACCCAATGATAAACAAATCTTGGCATAAACATCATCCTTTAGCACAGTAAGCACAGTCACATAAAACGTAAAACAATTCAGAATTAATCTCTAAACAAGTATCAATTGATTATTTGCGTATTATGTTCTATATATAGATCAATCAAGAATTTCTAACCTCTATGTCATTCCAATCTCTTAACCGTTTAGTAAACATAATTTCTGTAATGAAAACCGTAATAACACTCGTAACAGGGAAAATCGCTTCGATCCAGACTCACGTTTTTTGTTTAGATTTCAATACATTGATCATCTCCATATCCGCTTTTAAAATACACAATATTTACAAAAATTAAAATATCAATAAAAAACGCCATTACTTCATTTACGAGTTTGTTTTACTATAATATTAAGTGTAACAATTTTGAACGCCTTTTGACATGCCATGCAAACACAAAACAATGGCACGATACACACTCCTATTGTTTTTTTTATTTATTTATATTGTTCACAAGTCATTAGATATGCCTTTGTTAACTGAACTGTATTGTCAAATATCAAATACCAAAACATTGGCACTATACTGTTTTAGTTCAATAATTATTCAATTATGAAATAATGAATAAGCCAATTCCATCTTAAGTCAATTTTTGAAATAGCTTTATTACGCAGCAAAAATGCTTTAACTTAACTGCTTAGTAAATCATGACATGATTTGGTCCTTAATGCTTTTAACATGCTGAATCTTGAATTTGTCTAGCTTCTCCTTATTGAACTGTCCAGAGGTGGTCAGTCATCAGTATGATAGAGACTGGTCAGACCAAATACTCAGATGTGCATTCTGGCCTGGCTCTATACTGGTGGCAAAGGTTTATTATTTCAGTTCCATATCGCATAATTGTAAACTATAACACTTATTTTACATTTGTTAAAAGATGATGTTGATATTGAAAATCTAGAAAAAGCACTTTCTTTGGCAGCTGTCAGTAGGGCAGCGTGGTCGACTATTCTCTCTGCTTGATAGCAAGACAAGAGTCTGGATAATGAAGAATTTTTTACGTTCAAAAAGTGCCAAAATTCTGTAAAAATCCAGGTTAAAGTTATGGGCCTTAGACAGTTGCATATTATGCTTTCAAACAAGTGTGCAAAGTTTCATCCCATTCCCTTCAGGAGTTTGTGTGATACCAACTTGCAAACAGTAACTTAACCAAATTGTGATGGGGCCATCAACATCAACAATGACACCTTGATAGGTACAATAGCTCTCCTTATTCTTCATTCAAATAGTCAAGCTAAAAGTCAGATATTAGGAAAATAGTTGAAAATCAAGATAATGTTAATAGGATTTGGTATAAACAAAAGTTATTTTTAAGTATAAACAAAAGTTATGCAAAAGAATAAAATAGGTAAAATAAATGGGAGGAAGGCATGTTGGCATGTTCTATGGAAAATTAATATCATATTAAACTTTCTAAGATTCAATGTTCATAAAGATAGCTTGTCTCATTACCCAGTATCTTAAACCATCATCTATTTCTGTAATCAATATTCTTTAATTAATACAATATAACTGAACTGAACATTATTAGAATCCACTTAAGAATTTTGGTAGCTATAATATTTGGTAGCTATATATTGACAGTAAATAATATTAATATGTAATAACATAATTTTATTATTCTGATGAAGTGTAGATCAACACATTCTGTGGTACAAAACCCTCGTAATGGAATATTTCCCTCCCTATTTGATCACTTAATTAACCTATAAAGATACTGTGCCTATCTAAATGTACAAACCCCTTGAAGTGTTGCCGCTGCACTTTCATAGGGGTAAGGGAGAGCCGGTAACATTTCCCTGATGCATTTATGTTAACAAGTAGATAAAAAATAAGGCTTATAAGCAAAGTGCTTTTCTAGCTACAAGCAATTAATATAAACTGATGCAAGATTTATGTTATGGCAGATTGTAGATCTTTGATTATTCTTGCTATCTTTAAGTCATCTATAAAGCTTAAGTCCATTCTTAGTGCTCCAGACCAATTAGTGGGCACTTAGCACACATCATCTCAATTAGATAATAAACAAATGACCCTAAGTATTCCTAACATTCGGTTATCAAACAATAGTTTTCATGGTGGCATTGCTTATCTATTATCACATCTAATACACAAACAATTTTTACAATACAAGGGTTTCAACTATTTTATCATAAATCCAGTAACCAAGTTATTTCCCATGCAACATGTTAAAGACCACTGCCTTCAAACATTTGGTATTTTAATCTAACATTTCGGCCTGGTACTATCTAGACTATAAATAAAGCTGCTGACTTAAAGAAATGACCAAGATTTTCTTTAAAACATATAACAATCCCGCAAAAGCATTTTCCAACATGCATGTTATCTTTCCTATGACAAAACATATAATATTATATGATTAAGGTAAGCGGATAAAACTGGATTAAACTAACTAATTAAAAAAGGCATGGATGTTATAGTGTAATATTGGGTTAATGATAAAACAAGAACAAAAATAATTTCAAAAAGAAAATTTTTTTCACACTTACTCTGTCAAAGAAGTGATGGTACATTGTGGCTGAAATTAACGTAGACATAAGAAATTTTTTTTTCGTTGATCACTTCACTATCATACAAATATCGAATTCTCTAATTTATCAAATAATTTTATCTTAATAAGATAGTATCATTCTCTAACAAAATTAAGGTCCAAAATGAATAAAACAATCTACATTAAAAGGAATGAATTCTGACCGCTTTAGAGTCAAGTATGAGATTAAATTCAATATAATTCATAATATCACATTTAAATACTGATTACATGTAAATAATTCACATTTTTAGAATCACTCCACTGAACAAAGCATGTATTAAAAGCCAATGTAAAACAAAATCACTTTTAAATACTTACAAAACCAGAGTTATAAAGACATATACACCGAACAAAACTCTATCTATAATCCCTATGTTTATTTACGATACTTCAATAGATCTATCAGTAAGCCCAATAACAAGACCGAAAATTCCCTATCTCAAGTGTTGAAACAGACTCGACATTCGAGCGATAAATACCCATAAAAACTTATTGAAAAAATTCACGCTACCGATTCAATGGAAATACACAATCAACAAAATAAAATTCCATCGAGATATATACCAGACTAAATACATTAAGTAACGTCAAAATAAAAATGTTTTGCTAATAAAACCGTTTTTAAAAGCAATTGATTATTGGATCACACATCGAAAATTTTCAATTCGTTCAGCGGCTAATTTAATTGATTGCCATAAATGGTGTTGACAAAGAGATTACTGAACCCTGCATGAGAATAGAAAATAATGAAAACAATTTAATTATGACACAAAGAATATCTCACTTAAGTATAAGTAAAGCAATTTATTCTAAATTCAGATCGAGATATAAAAAAATCCAAGCCAGTCCTTCAATTGAATAGGCTAACAAGGCCATTTTATTAAAAACAAATTTGTATGATCTTTTGATTTCAAAAAAAAAGAAGATAAAGTTTAAGCATAATTAATATCTCTATTTTGATGGAAGTTTTAAGCTACCATATGATTGTACTTGAATCACTTGCAAGTCCACTTCCTGATACTAAACACTGAAACTGGTACCATGACTATTAGGAAACATGGTTGTGACAACAGTAAGGGCTCAAACCAGTGACCCTAAGGCTGAGAGACAGACCCCTTAACCACAAAGTCACTGCTTGCATGCCATTTAATAATTAAATTTCTGCTTTGCCTGAAATGTTCTAATCACCTTTAATTTATAAAATGATGAGCTGCGTAAAAATTTGATAAAAACTGAAAACTTTTTATTTTGTACTGCCTAAAAATGATGGTATATTCAACACTGAGTAGCGCCGCCCCGCCACCCCCCCCCCCCATTTTTAAAGGCAAATACAGGCTGTTTCCCCTTTGCCAAAAATACCTAAATGTTCCCCTATAAATGCCACTGTGCACATTTGTCACCAGTACCATGACTAAACAACAGCTGTTGTTGAAAAATCTAAAATTTATTGACTGAAAAAACATAAAAAAGCCCCTATAAGGTCAAATTGGCCCATAAAAATTTGGATGTTTAAAATTTCAATTTAAAATTTAAAAAATTTTATTTTTGGGTATTTTTTTTTTCCCTTTTTAAATTTTGTTGGTGTTAGATTTCAAATCTTCCCTTTCAGAATTATTTTGCTAAATTTCTCCCTTTCAGAGAGCCACAACGGTTGTTTTGAAAATTAAAAAAAAAATGTCACTGCTTTAGTAAAGGTTTAAAGTCTTTACTTCTATATCTACATACATACATGTATATAAATATACATGTATATATCAAAAATCATGGAATATGATGACAATAAAGACTCATTAATCAGTAATTTACATCTCTTATCAAATCCTATCATGTTTACACAAAATAAAACCTTTATAGAATTTAGAAGGTATAAAATCAAAACTTATCATCCCATGGTATAAATAACACATATCAATTTCTCATTTAAACTTCTGACACTGATGACAATAAAATCTTCCAAATTCCATTCTAAATCGTTTTTTGAAATTCTTATAAAAGGAATATGATGACATTAATTCACGGAAAATGACTCCTCAGTGCCCTTCAAAAATTGTGAACTTTTGCATTTTTTCCTGAATTGGGAAAAATTTTGCAATGATTCAGTGTCATATCCCAAATTAATGATCCTGAGGCTTTTTTGTTTACTCACTCAGTATTTTCTGTTTACTTACTCAGTACTTTCAGTTTACTAACAAGAACTGTCGGAGGACAGTAACGCTCGACTATTCGAAAAGTTGTCACAAGGGTGTTTAATCATGTATGATAATTACCTATATGAATGCATAAATTGTCCGAAAGGGTACAAAGGCTTTTTATTAAGATGTTTTATCAAGTAAATCACTGCTTTATTATTACAAATGCATAAAAGTGTTCCAAAAAAGGCACAAAAACTTCAGTAGTTATGGAGATACCAGCTTACAAGCAAAACTTTTACCAAGAATTTCTAAGCCGAAAAAGGGGCATAATTATGAAAAAAAAACAAATAAAGAGTTATAGGACTTGTGCCAATCATGTTAGATAATCACAGAGAACAAGTGTGTGAAGTTTCAATCCATTCCCTTCAGTAGTTATGGAGATACAGGCTTACACACAAAAACTTAACCAAGAATTTCTAAGTCGAAAAAGGGGCATAATTATACAAAGCAAATCAGAGTTATGGGACATGTGCCAATCATGTAAGATAATCACAGAGAACAAATGTGTGAAGTTTCAATCCATTCCCTTCAATAGTTATGGAGATACCAGCTTACACGCAAAAACTTAACCAAGAATTTCTAAGTCAAAAAAGGGGCATAATTATGCTTTGTTTGTTTCTTTGTTTGTTTCATTTTAAGCCTTTACCCAACAGTATTTCAGTCATATAGGCGGATAGTTTCCTAAAATCGTTCCTGGAGAGTTACACCAGTACTAGACTATCTTCCTCCGTGCTAAACTACCAAAGCATATCCCGGGGATCGAACCCATGCCAGAGAGGTAACTGGATTAGAAGTCATCGACTCTAACCCCTCGACCACGGAGGTGGTCTATGAAAAAAGCAAACCAGAGTTATAGGACTTGTGCCAATCATGTTAGATAATCACAGAGAACAAGTTTGTGAAGTTTCAATCCATTCCCTTCAGTAGTTATGGAGATACCAGCTTACACGCAAAAACTTAACCACAGGGACGCCGACGCCAACAAATGGAAGCTGCATTAGCTTGATTATTCTGCAAATAGTCGAGCTAAAAGTACTCATTTTTATTTGTTTGGGTCGTCAGACCAAACAAATAATGGTAGCGAAATTTCAGAGTCTAATGTTGTTAATTGCAAATGCCGAAAGTAGTCCACTTTTTTGAAGCGGTTACTTCCCTTTTGTATGTATATTAACGCCGAAAAATTCAGGGGAGACCTCTGCGTTAAGATGGTCAAAGACAGGCGCATTAATTTTCAAGCAAAGTAATTCCCGAGTGGTCGAAGATTTCTAATATTGTTTTATTGTATTTTTTGATCGAAAATAAGTAAATACAAAGTGGACATTCAATCTCTGACACAGAAGTTTACGACAAACCTAACAACAAGTAGTTCTCAAAACAGCTTAAATGAAAGAAATATTTTATTTAGTTACAAGTATCCAACAAATTACAACGCATTCAAAGTTAAACAATAGCGTTGGCTTATAGAATTGTCAATAAATGCACAATCACAAATTACGCGGATGAATATGATTTTATCAATGAAAATACTATTTTTAGCGATGTCGATTACCGAATACTACACAAACCGAGTAGTGGAATATATAGATTCTACATGTCGGACTGTTTGGGCGAGAAGATTTTCGCTAAAATATTTACTTCAATTTTAAACAACAGGTTTATCCTGAACAAAATACCTCGAAATTAATAAGGATTACAAACCCGAAATGCAATGGAAGTTCTAAATTTAGAATGACTTGATGTTATTCAGACTTTGTGTGTATAACTTCTCCGTGGTACAGTGGTAACGCGCTCGCTTAGTGAGTGAGAGGTCTCGAGTTCAAATCCCAGTCGAGGAAACTTTTTTTTTGTGTTAAATTCTTTTTTAAGTGTCTTTGTTAAGGAAGTAGCCATGATATGCAAGGATAAAGTGTGGCTGTCGTAAAAAATGAACATAAATGATTTTTTGATGCAACTCTAGTTATGCAGAATTCAGTATGTATCAAACTCAGGTGCCTTGCAAAATGAATTTTAATACATAAAAATAAACTTATACAGGAAAATGCAAACAGATATACAGTACGATTTAGATTGCAAAGATCAGAAAATACCACAGAACTTGCAGCCCTTTGATTCTTTTTAAATATACATGCTTATAGTAAGCTCCAGGATTATTTACATCTGTGTTAAACAACAGTTAAAGTCGTAACAAACCCTAATTTAGAATAATATGGTTTTCTTCAGGCCGTTCACATATAAATTCACCGTGGCTGAAGGGTTTTCGGGCTCGCTTAGGAAGCGAGAGGTCTGGAGTTCAAATCCCAGTAAAGGTAACTCTTTTTTTTCAAATTGTTAAAGTCAAATAAACATTGATTGAATATCAGTGTTGCAATTAGTCTTATAGCCAATTTACTACAATTAAAACGCTGGAAAGCATTGGTGGCACTATACATATAATCTCACAACCTGCACCTTTCTTACATTCTGAGACCCAAACAAATTCAGCGCCTTCTGTGCTTTGATTTTTTTCTGCTAACTTACTCAGTTTTTTTTCAGTTTACTTACTCAATTTTTTTCCAAGTTTACTTACTTGGCTATCCTTATTATTTAGATATATATTACTAGTAAAATAATTTTCTGTTTCAATTGCGATTTTTTCTTTATCCGACGAAAAAGGAAACTGACCTTCATTTGGAATATAACCAGATATAAATTATACAGTAACATAATATATATTATAAAAGACCAAAATAAACATTCAAACAATAAAGGGAACAAACTAGCAATATTTCTTTCTGTGTTTCAAAAATATATATCGAAATCAGTTACTTCCCCTTTTTATTGCAAGGAAAGACTAATAAATTTAAGAGAATTTAAAAGAAACACCATTTAAACAATAAACAAAACAATAAACAAATAGCAGTCGCAGACTGCCAAATCTTCCATTTTTAATGATGGTAATTTAGGAAATCCTTTTATGAATAAACCATCTTCTGTCTAATGTGTGGATTGAAGAAAATAAAAGATATCTTCTGTACAGTTTATAAACAACTTTATTTACACCACAAATAACAATGGAAGTCCAAGTTTAGATACAGAATGTAATTGTTGCCCTAAGGATATCCTTATTGCCTGGAAGTCCAGATCTAACTGATTTTAAAAATCAAACTTAAAAACCTCAGCTATCAAGATTTTGGAAGGACCAATGAAATATTCTTTTTTATCACTTAGTGATTGGTCAATTATCAAAGCTAATACTGATTGGACACTTGTCAAAGTTACTTTTATCTTAATGCCTATTAACACCATAATACAAAGGTAAACAATATGGTAAATATGGCTTAGATGTAGATTATTTAAGACATTCCTAAGTAAAGTGATTTTAACAAAGGAAACAATGTTGAGGTAAAAGAAGTAAAGCCTTAAAAACATCCAAACAAATATTTTTCAAATTCTTCAAACATCATTTTATGCAATTCTTCTTCATAAAAGCTCTCCCTTACTTATTTAACTTTGGTCCCCAAAGTTTAAAGAAGTTTTATATCATTACAGATGAAAAAAAAAATTCAATACAGTCCTAAACTTTGTTCCTTTTTTTTTTTACTTATAGTAACAAATTAATGATTTTTCTTTCTTTATCTCTGACATGCCGCATCCTTTGCATTGATTTCACATTCCAAATTTGGTAACAAGCTGATAACATAGTCTGAAATAACTGTTGGAGTCAGTTGCTTCTTACAAGTTCCAGTGAAGTGGTTTAATTTTTCACAGATCATACACTTAATTCCTTTAGCTCGACAGTCACTGCTTTTATGGAAACCATTACTACCACATCTTTTACATCTAAAATTTTTGATTCGATAATTCACAGCAGGGTCTTGAACATTACAGTATGAAAAGTTCAGCACACCTTGTAATTCTAATTTTGTTTGTTTAAAAACCTTGTCAAGCTTTAAAACGTACCCAATAAGGTCCCTAAGATATTTGAAGAGTTCGTCTCTTTGCTTTGTAATCTTTTTAATTTCCATATCAGCATTTTCTATTATCCCATGTAGTTCACTTGTTAAATCCTCATGTTGCGTTTGTTTCTGATTCAACAGTCGGTTTTCATTTTGTAAATTTGTTATTGTTTTTCGGCTCTCCTCAAGTTTTTGCTTTGTTTCCTCCAGTTTGCATTCTGCTCCTCTTGCTATTGTTAGATGACCAACATTTATTAAGTAGTTCTTTGGAAATAGTTTAAGAAGTTCCTCAGTTTCTATTCCATAAAACGGTAAATTTTGAAAGTTTTTTACTCTGATAAAGGTTGTCATTCTTTCTCTGTCTCTAAGTTTTTTAAGTTCTGTATATATGGAAGATTTACCTTTGAAATAACAATTCCTGGCATAGTGTCCACATTTATTACAATTGTAACACTTTGCTAGCGTAGCTTTACAGTTATTGACTGGATGAAGTAATCCACATCTTTTACACATTTGAATTGCCATTTCTATCTTCTAAGGGGAATTTAGTTAAGTCCAAATAATTGTAGAAAAATATTAACTCGCTTATTATTTCTGCATCCACATATAAATTCAATAAGTTCATGGATCGTCAGGTGAGCTAAGAAGTCACCTACCCGGATTCTCCACCAAAATTTTAATGATGGTAATTTAGGAAATCCTTTTATGAATAAACCATCTTCTGTCTAATGTGTGGATTGAAGAAAATAAAAGATATCTTCTGGTTTATAAACAACTTTATTTACACCACAAATAACAATGGAAGTCCAAGTTTAGATACAGAATGTAATTGTTGCCCTAAGGATATCCTTATTGCCTGGAAGTCCAGATCTAACTGATTTTAAAAATCAAACTTAAAAACAACAGCTATCAAGATTTTGGAAGGACCAATGAAATATTCTTTTTTATCACTTTGTGATTGGTCAATTGTCAAAGCTAATACTGATTGGACACTTGTCAAAGTTACTTTTATCTTAATGCCTATTAACACCGTAATACAAAGGTAAACAATATGGTAAATATGGCTTAGATGTAGATTATTTAAGACATTCCTAAGTAAAGTGATTTTAACAAAGGAAACAATGTTGAGGTAAAAGAAGTAAAGCCTTAAAAACATCCAAACAAATATTTTTCAAATTCTTCAGACATCTCTTTATGCAATTCTTCTTCATAAAACATTGACCAGGAAAAATGCTATTTAAAGAGGATAGTCCATTCTCATACACATTTACAATTAAATACACAACAAAGGGCAATAACCTAAAAGTACAAAAATGAGATGTGGGAGTTATTCCTCCATGACATTTCAAGCTGATATTTCTTAAGTGTTTTGAGTAATAGTCTTGACAAAACATAAGCATGAAAAATAATAGGGGCAATAATTGAAAAATTATGAAGTGAAGAGGTATGTTCTTTTGCTCTGCACTCCTCAACTTAAATTTATATAATAAAGTTTGTTAATACATTTTATGGATTTTGAAAATAATTTCAATTAAGCATGAAAAATAATAATAACCCCAAAATCATGAAGTGGATAGCAAATGTCATTCTTCTAACTGCATTCCACCAATAAAGTTTCAGATTAATATCTCTAAACTTTATGGCTTATGGTCCAAATAGAAATAATGCTAGAAAAATAGCCAATAAGTACAAAGTAATGGATGTTGTTATACTGGTTCACTGCAGTCCTCTTCAATGAGACCTATTGGCACATGACATTTCAAGATGATATCTCAAATACTGTTTGAGTTATGACCATGACAAAAATATGCAAAAATAACAAAGGGCAGTAACTCAAAAAATATGATATGGAGGGGTATCATTCTTATAAACTGCAGTCTTACTTTAAGTTGATGCCTCATGTAACTTTATGTACAAACAAAATTAAGTATGAAAATAACAAAGGACAAAGGGCAACAACTCCAAAATTATGACATGAAAATTTATCATTCTTTTGCACTGCACTTCTTAGGGCCAGCAAAATCTGAAGTTGACTTACTAGTCTGTTTTTCTCAGAAGCGTTTCTCAACTTGTCTGTAACACATCTATATAATATAGTAAATTATTGTCCGTAAAAGCTGTGGGACAACCTGGGCAATACGGACAATTGATTTTGCCGCCCCTGCTTCTCCTCCAGGAGTTAATGCTTCATTTCATACACTTTTCCATTATAATTCAGACAAAAATTTAAAGCATGAAAAATAGGATAATAACGAAATTATTAAGATAGGTATATTTATCAAACTGCTCTGCACTACCAGTGATTTTTCATCTTATATAACAGAGGACTATAAAGGGCCTCTTCCCAATAGGAATTTTCTTTACAATCATGCAGTTTTCCCAAGTCAAAAGTTACACCTGCTTTTTTACTTCCCGAAATAAGCAATAATTCTTCCCAAAATCAAGAGGCTAAGGCCTTTCCCAATAACGCAAGACAAATCAATGACTCCTCAACATGCTCAATGAGATTAATTTTGAAGCTGATATCTCAAATACATTTCAGTACATGTTCCAGATATATGTGGGACGGATGGATGGACTAAGACTATTTTCATATCCCCAATTGATGCCTTTTTGGCATGATAATACTTGATTGTTGTACATGTATTTACTCTAACCAAATGCTGGAGATGATAAATATAGGTTACACATAATTGCATGATGTATTACACAAATCTTACCAAATAAAAATTGACTGATAAAATATTTTACAATTTCTAAAAAATGTAAACTGAAACTAGCTTTGTATGAAAACTGTTATTCTCAATTAAATTCCCATGGGGCCTACAATCTCTGGAATTTTGTAGGTCCAAAATGGATTTTTACACAATAAGGCTGGGTGCAAGTTTAATTTTGCAGACTAATGCAGTCTGACCGGGACTCGAACGTGGTATCCTTGGAATACCATAGACCGCAGCTCTACCTATTGATCTACATTGTGTATCCGACAACTTGCACAATATCTCCCTATAATAGTGAACAGTTCTGAACCGTGACATTTAGTTATACATTTGAACTTAACTCTATTACAACTTAACAAACCAAACCCATTGTTGCTTTTGAAGAGACTTTTTTTTTACATTAACCATTTTTTAGTCATTTCGCGACTGTCCGTAAATCTAGCTGGCTTTTCTAAATAATTAAACAGTCACTACAAATTTCTCAACAAGCAACATGATAAAATCTTCAGTTGACATTGCAGAATTGTAGTTTCCTTTGTAACTTAAGCACCCAAAGGTGAAAAAAGTCTAGACCAGTTCCTGCAAGACATATAGAGCTGCAATATGTCTACGTCTCCACAAGGGGTTGTCAAGTTAGACAGACATATTAGTTATTTAATAATTTTCTGTGCAATAATATACCGGTGATGAAGTAAATTATTGACATGAAAAATAATCCTATACAAAATATTTTTATCAAGCGTAACAAAAGTTGCTTGGCGAATTTATACTATATTATCAACGTATTATACAAATGAGTAACTACTTTCATCATTTTTAACACTTTGGTAAAGTATACTTACTAATATAATTTCTGAGAACGACGAAAGTGATAGACAAAAACTTGCACGGACACCGCTGTCAACGACGCCAAAACTCCCGCGACCCTTCCTATTTGACTATGAAGTACTTCCAGTAGAACTGTTTTAGAATGAAAAATTAAACATATTGAAGCTAAAAATGTCCCATTATTTCACTTGGAGTGGGTGTTTATGTTTGTCAAAGCCAAAAATAAATTTTAATTCAAAGCACCCGCTCTGTCCGAAAACTTGTTGAAATCGCGATGAAAATTCCAAATTTCATTGGTCCATTCTTTACTCGTGTAATAAGCGACACGTTTACATTTTCTCATGAGCACTTGTGTCGTTAAAGTCTTAAAGAAGTCTTAAAATTATATTGTCAAAATATACACACAATGGTCAAAAAAGTTCGCCTGAAAATTTACGAGATCTACATTAAAATTTTTAAACAACTATCGATGACATATTGTAGATAAAATTATGCTATATAAACCAGAAGAGCGGGATTCTATTTTAGTGACTTACTTAATCAAAACAAAAGTTCAAGTTTCTTTTTGTGTACAGCAAAAACTTCCATTTTTATATAGGCAATTTCAATATTATAAAGCGTGATAAATAAATAAATGCTATATAGTATGCATAATCATGTTATAAAAATAGATCTATATGATACATAGGCTATAACTTGTAATTACTTTTCATCGCCATTAAGAATACAGTATACATGTATATACGAATTGATAAAGCATAATTTACACCCCTATTTTTTCTTCGGACGTGAAATCAAAATCAGCGTTAATTAGTTATATTTTCGTCGTACGTGGTTCTACTTGGGTGCCTGTTCGTGCAGAAATAATGCACGTGCGTAAGGGCACATGATGTCTTTCTCCACCAGTAAAAACTGGAAAGCCGCCGTATGAATTCTTCTCCGTTGGTGCGACGTAAACCCTAACCAAAAAAATAAAATAAAATAAAAAACAGCTTCTTTCTGATGCTTAAAGAGAGAATTTGAAGTCTTATATTCACATCAATCCATATGAAGAAATTTATTCTATATAATGTTGTCGTTCTTAATTTCTCAGGGTGATAACTTCATTTTACCTTTTTTAGAAACATCCTGACAATAACACTATTTTAGAAAAAGCTTGGATTGAGTTTCGAAATGAGGGCAGGAAATTTGGCCATGCTGTGTAGGTAAACGCAAGAACAATTCCATAAACGGTTTACAAAAACGGCTTATTACTTCTGCAGCTCGTTCAAAATAAGGAGCGTTCATTACGTCACATATATTACGACAGTTAGGCTCACATGACAAACAGCGCAGTGGAAATATGTATTTTTGCCACTTGGACACGGACAAGTTGGGCAGAAACTTTTACTTGTCTGCAGCCCATATTTTAATAAAAGTTTATGAGACTGTCATAGTAATTAAGAACATATTTCTTAATGCAAAGTCATGCAGTTTGAGGAAACGTTCTACATATTGTATAAGGCAATGAATAATGTCCAAACTATCATCATTTTGGTGCTTATTATTAAATCTGAACTGTCAAATATGCGACGGATGAATCCATCTAACGTTTCGTGCATGATTGAAATGATAGCTGGGTAATTGAAGACGATCTGGTTATACAAGTTGCTGTCGGGATATACGGGAGAATATAGCCTGAATAAGATAAATATGACCCGAGATGCTAGCCAATAACGAATTTATAATAACTCAAATTGTAATGATAACAAGTTCATAAGAAAACCCAGCAACTTTAGACCGCGGCAAAAGACACACGTAATCAACAGCTATGCTAACGCTGTGCAATAAAAAAGAAATTCAATATTAAGTCATTTTTTTAAGTAATTGACATTTGAATCGAGAAATAGTCATAAAAACAAAACGCAATAATAAAAATCTATGCACACACGCAGTTAACCGTCTATAATGTAGAAATACATCTTAAATTGTTATTTGTGCGTGCTTCGGTTCTTCTAGGTAGTGTTTACAAAGTGTTTAATCCAATCAGAATTTGACAAAATTATTTGCATTATTATAAAGTATGATATATTAAATCATATTACATTGAACACGACATCGTTCTTCAAATACGAATCATCTTTAGCACGGCAACGTCGTGCACAGTGAATCGGGTCTGTTGAAATTTTCTATCAGCCGCCCAAACTAAATGGAATTGACTTAAACAGTGAACGTTTTACCTTCAGCATAGACAATTTAATGTAATTTAATTGTTTTCGATTAAAAATAATGTTATACAAGACTTAGTAACTAGATTTTACGATTTTCAATGTATGAAAAGAAAATGGAAGTGTGTGTCTTGAAGAAGAAGTTATTTATCTTGGAGAAGACTACTTCATGTATAGCGTTTTGCCACAGTTTCATTGTTATCTATGAATTATACCAGGAACTCGTATTTCTTTTATTATGACATCACTTGTAAATTCATAGAAGCTCTCTTGGGATAATAACAGGCTTAGATAGGATTTTTTAAAATAACTACGGTATTATAAGCTGGAGTAGGGAATTCTTTATATAGACTTGTAATGTTTTTAATGAGATTCAGTTAAACACGTTTCTGTTAATGTTGAATATAACTCTTTTCTCAAGATTTTTTGTTGTTGTTGTTTTTATATAAATTCAAGACACATCAACACAGTACAAGTTATATGGCTACTTTTCAGGTGGTAAAAGACCTTAGATAGCCCTTTCTTGCAATATTTTGATCACAAGTGTGTGCTCACCAAGTGGAACCACCAACCTTTCCTAATTTGCTAGATAGGTTCCTCAAAAGAATTACCATAACACTTGATCTCAGTCAAGATTCAAACCCACAACTTTCTGAGGCAAGTGACTTGATGTTAGTGTTCTTAACCACTTATCAATAGGCTTGTGATAGAGCAATGGTTTAATCAAAGCTCACTGTATACAAATGAAATTCCTGACCAAACTATGCCCAAAGTTCAAAGCTGGGCCAGTCTGAAAGTCTCTGAAATCTGACTCAATATTAGGCTATAGGCTGCTCAAACTTATTATTTTGAAATCGAAATCTATATTAACAATAGAAATATCCAAATGCAAATCAGGGATGTCTATTACACAAATAAAAATTAGGCAATAAATAATTTCAGATCAGTTACATCTACTATTAGTAGCTAACAAACACAATACAACACTTGCATGTTCAGATATTTATTTATTTTCCATCCAATATACACTATTCTTAACAAACTAACATATATATAAAACATTCTCTCAAGTCAGAAAATAATTTTTAATTTCTATCATACACAGTGTGAATAAGAGTGTCTTCAATGACACTAGACTTTGTTCTACTTTAATCATACTCTTAAAGCAGCATGCCTCCAGATTCCTGCTGATTTTCAAGAAAATTTTGAAAATGTTCTAAAAAGAAAAATATTGTGAAGTGAAGAAAGAAAATAATTTACACATCCCAATCAACACATATAATTTACAAAATAAAAGATCAATATACGCCAAAAATACCCCTTACTGTGTTACTAACACAATAGAAATATGGTGAAAAATACTGTCAAGTCAGTTATAAATTGCACATAGCATGGAAATCATTACTTTTATCTTCAAACTATTTACATTTCTTATAATCTTGGTACATTGTTCTCAAAATTGATTTTCTTAAAATATTTTGGCTCATCTTGAGGCATGCAGCTGTAAAATATAAAAAAAATTTATGCAACAACTCCCCCCACCCTGAATTGTCAATAACTATCATATCATTGTAGTGTCATACTATTAACAGTAAATAAATTAGTTTATTATACACCTGTCCATATTTTTCTAATTTCATGCATGTATCACAAGCACAAATATAACCAGACAGAAATTTATCTGTATCATGTGTGATCGGAAATAATGCTACTGGTGTTATATCAGTATGAATATATGAGCCGCGTCATGACAAAACCAACATAATGCGTTTGCGACCAGCATAGATCCAGACCAGCCTGCACATTTGCGCAGTCTGATCAGGATCCATGCTGTTCGCTTAGTAGAGAAACTGATAGCAAACAGCATGGATCCTGATCAGACTGCGCGGATCCATGCTGGTCGCAAACTCATTATGTTGGTTTTGTCATGACGTGACTCATATTTAGTTTGAATCTGACACCTCATGACCTATTCCTAGTAAAATTCACTGGGGTCATTTTATTTATTTTTTTTGGCTGGGTTTAAACTCACACCAACACAGTGTATCTGACTTTCCAGCTTTACTGATACTGGAAGAACTCAGGTGCCCTTCTGTGCATTATTTCAAGCACAAACAAGCAACAAACGTTCCATAAACTAGCCCAATAGCTTCCTAGTACGAAAGAATCCAAAGTCCCAGTTGGGATTCAAACACACAGCGGTGATGGGCAAGTGGTTCAAAATCAACAACTTAAACCATTCGACCACGGACGCCCTTCCACACAGATTAAATACAAATCCCAGATCAAGATACTTCTAATAACTCTTTTTTTATTGCAAATATTCTTACCTATCAGCAGTCTGAAGCTCTCTTAAATTTTTTTAAATTTCACATAAACATAAAAACATTCTTGAATTTGTAAGAATGTCAAAATTGTATACAAAATATCAGTCACATTAAAACACATAAATATTGTGAGCTATTGAAAGCCATTTCATTCATAAACTTAATTAAGGCAGTCTGAAGAAACCTGTTCAATATTTCATGAAATAATCAGTGTTAATTCAGTAGAAATGTACTTTTCAATGATAAACTTCAACAGAAAACATAAATTATAGTCTGCAGCTTGTAGCATGATTATTATCATAAATCATTTTTTAATCTTCATTTCCCTTAAGGGTGTTGTTAAAATATGTTGTTCTTATAAACATATATGTTGAACCAGCGTTTTTTTCCTCAGCACTTTGGGAACAGAATTGGGAATTATTAGGATGTTGAACCGAAAGTAACCTTTGCCAGAAGTATAGAGCCAGGCCAGCCTTTATATTCTTCCAGGGTCAAAACCCTTGTGAACATTTTGGTATATAAAACTTACTGTTCCTAGACATAGACCGGTAGGGTCCTCCTAACCGGTCCTCGTTTCCTACACTATAAACTGTTGGCTGACCTACTTTAAATTGTCATTTTGATGTCACCAAAATTGATCATGACAGTTCCTAAAATAAACAGAGGTCAAGTCCATTTAAGAAATTCAGCCGATTGAGGAGTAACCAGATGTCTGTCCCCTAGTTGAGGTACATAGATGGTCAAACAGTGCATGGCATGAAACATTACTATAACCACTGTTCTTGGCTATGCATTGAGATGTCCAAAAGTTTCCAGGCGGCATCTGGATTTAATTCCTCCATATCTCTACACAGTGCCCAAACATAGGTTACGGCCATCACCTTTTCCTGAAATATATACACAACAAATGAGAGTGAATTGTTACAAAACTCAATTTCCAGCCAATATCACATATGTGAAAAAGCAACAACAGTTAAATACCATAATTATGTCAAAATTGATCAATTCACAAAACGGTGACAGTGTGTACCACAACACTTAGAGACAAAAATTCTCAGTAAGTTTGATTGAAATTATAGACACATATGAGAAACCAAACTGCATCCACAAATCTATCCAACAACAAACATCAATCTAACAAAAGATTTACCAATTTGGACAATATGGTTCAAAACGCTTGTATTCTTTCATGAGAAGGATCAAACTACAACTTTAGGTAAACCTTGTGTTTACAACCATCTTTGACAGTAAATATTCAATAGGGCTTAAGTCAAAACAACACTGTTACATTGTTACAGGTCATTTGGTGACTTGACAATCCTTCTTAGTCTTGTTTACATTTAGATAAAGGGAGTAAAAATTGTGTTCACAATACAAAAGCAAAAACAAAGTCAGGAGCACAGTGAGATAACAATATGCTATGCCAGCCATTTACCGGTACAAGCAAATTTTGACAGGGGAAGGGTGGCCTGGTGGTTAAGGTGTTTGCCTCTCAACCCAGTGATCATGGGTTTGAGCACTAATCAGGTCATGACTATGTTTTTTCATATGACACCAGTACTGGTTGGTTCAAAGATGCTGACTTGAAAGTGATTAATATAAGTTGCAAGAACTTGTTTCACAATCAAGCTTTAATTAATATGTTTAAATTTTACTCACGGGATCCCCCTCAACAACATCTCCTTTCGCATTTTTGACCACCATTGTTTGCTGAGCATTGAAGCTTATCACAAGTACTGGACCCTGCTCCATCATTTTACCCGCAGCAAGCTACAAAATAAACCAGTTAATGAAACACATGGAAGACTGGAAAAATCCTTATACATGTAGATCACTAACCGTAACTAAAGATTATGACTAATGTAAACTGCATATTTAGTCTTTTTTTATAAACAATTCAATTATAACCCAACCCCGCTACAAAAGTACCAGCAATTTTATGAAAATTGTTTAAAAAAACCCAAACAAACCAAAAACCACCCATTCTTTAATTAAGTACAATCAATATCTAAAGAGGCTAGCAAATTTGAGCTTTAAGAGTTTTTTTGATCTTTTTTCTAGTGAATTTGAGCCTTTTAAGTTTTCTTAGAATACTTTATTTAAATACTGTTATACAAGATCACAGAAATCTCTACACTGACAATTTTCAAAATCTGAATAAGGAGACCTCTACAGAGCAATAAATACAAAAAGTTGAAAATTGTAGACTCTGTTTTATTGACTTTTGACAAGACAAATTGATGGTGCAACAAACTCTCATGCCAATTAGCAAAGGTTAGATGGAGTTTAATGAAAAGTACTCAGGTAATTTTGTTTGTCTGGTTTATGCCAATTTTAACATGTCTCTGTCACCAAGTTTCAGATGTGCTTTCCTTGATAACTAACCAGAAATTACCAACTGCTCTCTCCACAAATGTCCAACTACTTAAACCACAAATTTCTGAATCAGAAGTGAGAGACAAATGACCATTTTAGATTCAATGCCCCCCAAAAAAATTGTTATGGAAAATATTTCGCCTCACCCAGGCATCAAACCAGTGGCCCCTGGATAACAGATCCAATGCTCTTTCAATGCTCTCCCTATTAAACTAAGCAGGGAGACATCAGTAATTTTAAAAGAAGCAATATTACACATATGAGATTTGTTTCATCTATCTGACATAAAAGCAGGATTAAACGTATCTCTAGGGCACCTACCTCTACATTACTGACATCCAGTATATGGTTCTCTATTTTAAGACCATTAGCTTTTGCCGTGTTGATCGGAAGCATCAGAACATTAAATGGCTGAAATATAAAAAGTGACATGTACAATTTTAACATTTCAAAAGATATATTTTATTAGTTATCAAGATTTTTGACAGGTTATATGGCCCTATATTAACAGTTTTTTGCATATATAATATCCCAAACACCCGTTTATATACAGCTACATAATCCATCAAGATTCTTCATAATGAATTTACAATACAGCAAACTTTCTCAGCAGTGCATATAAATGTCATCATTAGCCAATGAAAAGCGACATTACAAACATGCAGTATTATAAAGTTAATTTCAACAAGATTTCATTAAACATATTAGGTATGACCTTACAGAAACATATTTTTAGTTTTGATAATACATATTGGAACGACCTTACATACACAAACTGTGCAGACAAGTAAAAGCATTGTTACAGGAGTATCTTGATGGGTTTGAGGTTATAAATATGAGCCGCGACACGACAAAACCAACATAGTGCGTTTGCGACCAGCATCCGCGCAGTCTGATCAGGATCCATGCTGTTCGCTAAACAACCATATTACAAGTAGAGAAACTGATAGCAAACAGCATGGATCCTGATCAGACTGTGGGATGCACAGGCTGGTCTGGATCCATGCTGGTCGCAAACCCATTATGTTGGTTTTGTCGTATCGCGGCTCAATTATATTTTTCAAACTCTGATCTCAGGTATATGATTGGCCAAAAACTGGTACAGAATGTAAACTGACCAATGAAAAGTCTGAGACTTGAGTCAGCTGTCAGAAAACAAGAGGGCCATGATGGCCCTGGGGTCGCTCACCTGTACATAGGCCCCCAGGGCGGGGCTAGTTTAAACCAAAGGGCTTTTATTTGAACAAACTTGGAAGACACCCATTAGAAGATGTTTCATGATGTTAAGTTTTAACTAAACACAAATAATGAAAAACAATGACTTTTGCCCCCCCCCTCCCCCTGGCAGGGCCAATTTTAACCCAAGGGCTTTTATTTGAACAAACTTGGTAGACACCCATTAGAACATGTTTCATGCTAAATATCTTAGCTCTAGCTCTTTGGGTTCTTTAAAAGAAGATTTTTAAGTTTTTAATTAATATATGCTATATAGGGAAAATCTATGACCCCCTAGGGCGGGGCCAATTTTGACCCAAGGGCTTTTATTTCAACAAACTTGGTAAACATCAATTAGAACATGTTTCTTGCTAAATATCTTAGCTCTAGCTCTTTTTGTTCTTTAAAAGAAGATTTTTAAGTTTTTACTCTATGTATATAGGGAAAATCAATGACCCCTGGGGCCGGGCCAATTTTGACCCCAGGGCTTTTATTTGAACAAATTTGATAGACACCATTAGAAGATGTGTCATGCTAAAATATCTTAGCTCTAGCTCTTTGGGTTCTTTAAAGAAGATTTTTAAGTTTTACTACATGTATATAGGAAAATCAATGACCCTGGGGCTGGGCCAATTTTTGACCCCAGGGCTTTTATTTGAACAAACTTGGTGGACACTCATTAGAAGATGTTTCATGCTAAATATCTTAGCTCTAGCTCTTTGGGTTCTTTAAAAGAAATTTTTTAAAGTTTTTACTATATGCATATAGGGAAAATCAATGACCCCCTGGGGCGGGGCCAATTTTGACCCCAGGGCTTTTTTTAACAAACTTGGTAGACACTCATTAGAACATATTTCATGCCAAATATCTAAGCTCTAGCTCTTTGGGTTTTTTAGAAGAAGATTTTTAAGCTTTTACTATATATATGCATATAGGGAAAATCAATGACCCCCTGTGGCGGGACATATTTTGACCCCAGGGCTTTTATTTGAACAAACTTGGTAGACACTGATTAGAAGATGTTTCATGCTAAATATCTTAGCTCTAGCTCTTTGGGTTCTTCAAGAGAATTTTTTTTAAGTTTTTACTATATGCATATAGGGAAAATCAATGACCCCCTGGGGCGGGGCCAATTTTGACCCCAGGGCTTTTATTTGAACAATCTTGGTAGACACTCATTAGAAGATATTTCATGCTAAATATCTTAGCTCTAGCTCTTTGGGTTCTTTAAAAGAAGATTTTTAAGTTTTTACTACATGTATATAGGGAAAATCAATGACCCCTGGGGCTGGGCCAATTTTGACCCCAGGGCTTTTATTTGAACAAACTTGGTAGACACTCATTAGAAGATGTTTCATGCTAAATATCTTAGCTCTAGCTCTTTGGATTCTTTAAAAGAAATTTTTTAAAGTTTTTACTTTATGCATATAGGGAAAATCAATGACCCCCTGGGGCGGGGCCAATTTTGACCCCAGGGCTTTTTTTTTTAACAAACTTGGTAGACATCCATTAGAACATGTTTCATGCCAAATATCTTAGCTCTAGCTCTTTGGGTTTTTTAAAAGAAATTTTTTAAGTTTTTACTATATGCATATAGGGAAAATCAATGACCCCCTGTGGCGGGGCCAACTTTGACCCCAGGGCTTTTTTTTTAACAAACTTGGTAGACACTGATTAGAAGATGTTTCATGCTAAATATCTTAGCTCTAGCTATTTGGGTTCTTTAAGAGAATTTTTTTTAAGTTTTTACTATAAATTATGCATATAGGGAAAATCAATGACCCCCTGGGGCGGGGCCAATTTTGACCCCAGGGCTTTTATTTGAACAATCTTGGTAGACACTCATTAGAACATGTTTCATGCTTAATATCTTAGCTCTAGCTTTTTGGGTTCTTTAAAAGAAGATTTTTTAAAGTTTTTACTATATGTATATAGGGAAAATCAATGACCCCATGGGGCGGGGCCAATTTTGACCCCAGGGCTTTTATTTGAACAAACTTGGTAGACACTCATTAGAACATGTTTCATGCTTAATATCTTAGCTCTAGCTCTTTGGGTTCTTTAAAAGAAGATTTTTTAAAGTTTTTACTATATGCATATAGGGAAAATCAATGACCCCCTGGGGCGGGTCCAATTTTGACCCCAGGGCTTTTATTTGAACAAACTTGGTAGACACTCATTAGAAGATGTTTCATGCTAAATATCTTAGCTCTAGCTCTTTGGGTTCTTTAAAAGAAGATTTTTTTAAGTTTTTACTATATGCATAATGGGAAAATCAATGACCCCCTGGGGCGGGGCCAATTTTGACCCCAGGGCTTTTATTTGAACAATCTTGGTAGACACTCACTAGAAGATGTTTCATGCCAAATATCTTAGCTCTAGCTCTTTGGGTTTTTTAGAAGAAGATGTTTAAAGTTTTTTCTTTTGGTTGCCATGGCAACCAGAGTTCTGCATGGAATGGAATTCTTTGAACAACTTTGTTAAGGCTTCACACAAGGAACATCCCTGTGAAGTTTCATTATGATCTGCCTTATGGTTTCAGAGGAGATGTTGTTTGAAAGTGTGAACGGACAACGGACGACGTACGACAGACAACGGACGAAGAGTGATCCCAATAGCTCACCCTGAGCATATGCTCAGGTGAGCTAAAAAGGTTTTAACCTCCAGGCCTGATCTGACTCATGGATTTTACTGGATTGAGATCTCGATAAAGGTGGGGAAAAGTTTCTTAACTACAAATAAAAGTTTCTATTACTTACAGCCTCATAGCACCAGTCCTTTAATATTTCTTCATTCCCTCTTGCCAAAGCCTGCAATACATCAAATAACAACATATAACATCTAATCCTTTTTTGATACTGTTTTATTATCAAATATTTTCCTTTTGAATTTTTATATCATTTTGATATCCAAGGCTTTTTAGTCTTATTGTTTAAGGTTTTAACTTGAAATGCTTTTTTTTAATATCCAATGTTTTTTTGATTTTATTATCAGATTATTTTTGAGTTTATAAAGTTTTTTTTTTTGATTTTCATCAAATTCTTTTTTGGTTTGAATATCCTATGCTTTTTGGTTTTAATATCACATATTTTTTCATTTCATTAACTAATGCAGATGTTTCAGAACCAGCTGTTATCTGGTTGGATAATACATGACAAACCTGCTGCAAGGTAACATCTTTCTTGCATGTAAAAATTATATGCCATTCGAGGGATTCATACCTGGGTGCCGACCCCCCCATGCTTTTTTACAAATACATTCAAGCATACTTACTTCTAGTATATTTGGAATCACATCGTACTGGCACCATCGTGTAAATGATTCTTGGGTAAAGTCTGGATCCATTTTACATATTTCCGTCAAAACTTCTGACATTTCCGTCTTGGAGAACATACCACCTACAGTTCAATAAATCAACTCACATATATGACAAGCAATAAAGTATTTACAAATTACTTTTTGTTATGAGTTTTACATCACACAAACACAGTATAGGTAATATTGCGATTTTCCAGCTTTACTCGTAGAAAAAAGACCTCAGGTGCCCTTTTGTGAATTGTTTCAGGCACAAACAGACACCTGAGTAGAACCACCGACATTCCGTAAGCCAGCTGGATAGCTTTCTCACATGAAAGAATTCGAGCAGAGCGGATTGAATTGACAGCAGTGAGAAGCAATGGTTTGAAGTCAATGACCTTAACCACTCGGCCACAGCCGTCCCCGCTACAAATCACTGAAATTGCACACAGCACCAATGAATCTTAAAAGCAATCCCCCTACAGTACCATATTTTGGGATTATCATAATTACTTTTAATTACAAAATTAGGAAACTGAAAAATACGGCAATGACAGACTGTGCAAATAATTTAGCTGATCTCGCTCTACTCTTAAGAAATAGATGTTTAGAGTGCAGTATTATAGAATGATGTGAAGACAAGCTGTTATATCCATTAACTATCTTATATTTCACACAAAAATTCTTACCAAACACACTAGATATTTTATCTGTGAAGAAACGTGTGCCACGAACCAATATGTTGTCACTTTCATCATATTTCATCTTTAAGTCAAACACCTCTGAAATACAACATGTGAATGTCAAAATATAATTAAGAGTTGTGGAACTTGGTAATTCTTAGCTTGTTTGTTACCTGTATATGTCAGTGCTCTAGATAAGATATCTGGTCCAATTGTTTTCACTACCAATTTTTTTCAGCCAATTAGTTTTTCAATAATATATTTTGATAACAATTCGGTTTTTTGTTGGTTTTTTTTCAAAAATGTTAATGGCTTTTTCCACATAGGTATCCATTCAATTACTTTAACTAAATTTTAATAATAAAATTTTTATCGATACAAAAAAGAGAGAAGAATACATGCAGCGGATTAATTTTTTCAAATTTCCTAAAATCGTATTAGAACGTCAAATGTGTATATTTGTTACATATTATTCATTTTAAAAGAACACTGATAGAATAAATACTGTTTTCCATGAAGTCAAGTCAAAACTTAATTTGTTATTGCTGCAGAATCATTTAAAAGGGTGCGTTAGAAATTTTTGCCTTGTTGAATTTTCGAATAACAATTAAAATTTGATCACAATTCATTTCAAGTATTTTGAATTTGTTTTAGTCCGACAGATTGAAAGATGGCTAATGTCCATTTAAGATATTTAGGGTAGTAAGGGTAATACAGTCTAACAGCTACTTACTATTTACAAATTCATTATTGTCCTTGAAATTCTGCCAACTTTGATGCCATTTAGAATCTTTATGTAAAACCATGGTCACTGTATCACTGCAAAAAAATATTCAACAGACTTTGATAAATCACCAACAGGAACGAAAAATTTCAATGTTATCTCTGATGAAATTATAAATTTTACAAGTAAATACAAATTTCACAATAATTTCAACACACAAGTTATCAATTTCACTTGGGTTTAAAATCAAGACCCCGTAAGGCACAATTAATGCTCATCTATGTACAATTATCATTCATGTATTGCTAATCACTAGGGTTCAGGAAAACAAGAACTGTCTGTAGGAAAATTTGCTTGACTATTCTCAGTGCTTGATAGTAAAACAAGAGCCTTGATAATGTAGAATTTCTAAGTTCAAAACCGGGCCATAATTCTGTTAAAATTCATGTGAGAGTTATTGGTCTAGGATATTGACCTCAAATTATGCTCTCAAATAAGTGTCCGAAATTTAAACCCATTCCCCCATTAGTTTTAGAGATACCAACTTACTCATCTGCTTCAAATATCCTAGAGTCCTTCTCTGACATATTCAGTTTATCTGACCTCATCCGTAATTTTTCTGAAATATCAAAATATATGTTTTCAATTCTTACAAGGTCAACAAATAAACTGTACAACAACAATTTTATGGTTACAACAATTTTTTTTTTAAAGATTTTTTTTCAATTTCCTGACATCTGTTCGAAAGTCTACTCAACTAGCCTTCTTCTCTGTAACAATTCAAATTTGTAATACAAATATGCAACTGTATCTTCAAATATACTCAATTTTGGAATACTTGTAAAACAAATATGCAAATGTATCTTGAAATATACTCAGTTTTAGGATACAAACGGGAGTAGTAAGTAGATTTTTGTAACCTATTAATCTAAGTGTAATAGCAACTGAAATAACTTAAATTTAACAAAATATAAATTACTATAATAGAAACAATAAAAATACAAAAGATTATGTATAAGAAATAAATAACTACCTGGTGCTTTGTAATGCTTGGCTTTTGATAATGCAGTTTCATCAAATTCTTTTTTCACTGCTTTAACACCCTGAAAGCAAAGATATTTTTTTTAAATATTTTGAGTCTCTGTAAAGATCATAATCATAGGGCTTTCCAGCTAAGACCTCAGTCACCCTTCTGTGTAATAAAATCACTGATCGACTTTCTATAAAAGACTGCAAAGGCCCTGGCAGGAAGAAAAGGGCAAATGTTTTGTTTGTTTTTTTAAAAAAAGAGACATGGTATCACTCAAATTAGAAATGAATTAATACATGCTTACATTCCACTGTTTTTTTAGTCTATAGACAGTGTGACATATCTATAAACCCTTAAGTACTTAAAGCTGATAGTTTAGTGTCTTGAATTCATATTGAAAATTGCTTAATTCCCTCTGAATATAGGAGAAAGCATTGTACTTACAGCACAGACACAAATTTTTGCTTGTTACATATCATATGTACTTGTTGGGAAACTATATTTTTGTTGGACTTTACGTCACACCAATACTGTTAGGGTTATTTGGTAATTTTCCAGCTTTATTGCTGGAGAAAAACCCCAGGTGCAGCTTAATATATCATTTCAGGCACAAGTGGACACCTAAGTAGAAGCATCAACCCTTCTGTAAGCTAACTGGCTAAATTCCTCAAGTTAAAAAATATTCTCAGTCCCTTGCAAGATTCGAATTAAGCGGTGGGGCGTGTGTGATTTGAATTTGGCAACAAAACAGATGCCTTTATACTAACACAAGAACAACAGATGTGAAGATAATTGCAACTTGTATGTCTACTATCACACATCACATGATCTGATGCTAAAAACTGACATTCTAGGTGGAACTTATTTGTATACATACCTTGGAAACTGTTTTAACTGTAGAACTTTCGCCTAATTTTTTCCCCTGCTCAAGTACGGTCTCCCCAGCTTTACCAACTGTTTTACCAAATTCCCCCGTCACTTCAATGCCCTTCTTTATAAATTCTGACTTCTGTACATCTTCTAAAGTCTGAAAAGTGTAAAAGGCAATAAGAACAATAAACAATTAAGCCTAAGCTGCACTTCAGGAAACAAAATATCCGGCATGTAACTGCTTAAATTCACCTATAAGTAAGTAATAAAGTATTTAAAATCTTGTCTGCATCATAAACTAGCATAAATTTCTGGAAATTTAGTGGGAGCAGCATTAAGGTTGTCAAACACTCGCGTTTGGGATCAAACTCTATCAAATCAAGAACACAGCCTTTTTCCTTTAGTAAGAATATCATTCTGCATTGCTCTGCTACATCAAGTTGTAAATAATTAGGTTATGAATATAATTAAATGATCATATATTGATACTTAATATGAGGCCATCCAGTATTTTATCAATACCAAAACCCTATACTTTGTGAGCGTAATTTGTAATTTTGGCTTGATGACATCTCCACCTACAACTTCAAGTAACTTTTTGATTTCCTTTGTTTGTTTTCTCTCTGTTTTCTCTTTCTTCTTTTAAATTTAAAACATTGCTATAGATACAGGTATTTTTATATAAGTAACAGTAATTGATATACAACTCCATTCTCAACTTATATTTACCTCAGACACTTTACTTTTAACTTCTTGTATGCCTTTCTTAAATGTTTCTTTCGAGTCTGTTTCCATACCAATATGTTCCTGGAAGAAGTCAAAAGCAATAACAACTTAATTTGTGACCATAAGGAAATAATGCTTTATACAGAATAATATGTTTCTTACATACAATAATAACATGTTTCTTTACATAGAATAATAACATGTTTCTTTACATAGAATCAAGTGTTTCTTTTACAAAGAATTAAATGTTTCTTTTAAATACTAAGAACTATATGTGTCTTAACATAGAATAATGTTTGTTTTTTTACATAAAATTACATGTTTCTTTACACAGAGTAACTGTAATATATTTCTTTACACAGAATTACAGTTTTCTTTACAAAAAAATTATATGTTTCTTTACAAAAGAAAATACATGTTACTTTACACAGAAAAACATGTTTCTTTACATAAAATTAATGTGTGGTTTGTTTCAGGAAGAAGATTTAAACTGGTTCAAGTAGCCTTTAAGCTTTCATCATACTCAAACTTAATGAATAATCTTTAAAAACAAGAGCATCACATGCATAGTCACCTTGTGTCTGATAAAAAATTTAGTTATAAAGGGGCATAACTCCAAAAATTTTGCTTTCAGAAGTATGCCACTTATCTAACAACAGCACCATGTCATGATAAGCAAGTTTCAAGTTGATCAAAATCTTTAAACTTTTAAATGTTTGAAAAAAGGATGACACTAAAGTTTTTGCATGATGAAAATGATGCCTCCGTAAAGAAGAGCTTAAAAATCATGTTTCAACTAAAACTTGTTTAGTGTTGTATAGTGTTGATATTTTTAAAGCAAATAAGTTGCAATACTCAAAACAAAATGAGCTAAAGAATTGCATCCCTGATGCAGCAGTCAGAGCTTGTATTTATAGCAATCAAGGTGTGCACTCGTATGTGACACTAGACAACTTACAAATTTTTCTCTAGCCTTTTTTAACGTTTCTGAACTCTCCAGCTTCTGTTTTTCTTCACGAAACTTTTTCAAATTTTCCTGAAAATCAATCAGTATTTACATTATTAAATCAAAAAATGCTACCACTTATTCAAAATCAAAATAACGCAATGTCAGGAATCTTTACTCACATTTTAGCTTTGTTTTATTAGGTTTTGAGTCTCACTAATGATATTAATAAAAGTCATATGGCAAATTTCAAGCATTCCTGGTGGAGGAAGTTCTTGGGTACCTCTTAATGCAATATTTCAAGCACCTCAAGTAGAACAACTGACTTCTCATAAGCTGGTAGAATAGCTTGATCACATGCAAGAATCCAAAAATTACTGATGGGATTCAAACATACAGTGACGAGGATCAGTGCCATGAAGCCAGTAACCTTAAGCACTCAGCCAAAGAGGTACCCAACTTACATATATATTACTATTTCTTATAACACACCAAATCTAGGACATTAAAATAAAAGAAATACAAAGCATATTTTGTTACTTATGGTAGCTGATATTTTTTATTTGAACTTTTTTACAAACTTTTGGAACATTGTATGTCGCTACAAGCATACATAATCAAAATGAAAAACTTCATTCAAACATAAAAAAAACTCAAATACTTACATTTAAATGTTTATCTTTAGAAAAGCCTTCTTTTAAGTTGTTATAAATATTCTCAAAAAATCCTTTCCTTCCATCTGAATAGTTTCTCACCTGAAAAAAAACAACAACATTATCTTATAGTTACAACAAACCAAGTTTTAGTGTACTTATCTTATACATGAGCTCTGTTTGCAACACATAACAGCTTTTCTTTTGCAAATAGTTTTTTTGTTTAATATTACCCACTTTGAATTATACTCGCATATATTGTAATGCTTTTTGTCCTTTTCTACCTTTATCAAAATATATTGTGACTCCAAATTGGTATCTGTCTTATAAATTCTGGAGCTAAACAGAAGCTCCGTAAATAAAATTAAGTATAATGGATGCAATTATTTTGAGTGAGAACTTACCTGATGTTGAGAAATGTGATTCTGGTATCTCCATGGCTTGCATACAATACAACTACTTGCTACTGTAACTTGCCTGTTATACGAGCACTCTCTGCAGAATATTTGATATAACACCTGCAAGTAATAATCATTAAAGGCATTTAATTCTCAAGATCAAAACATTATAAAGTGCACATACATCTGATCATACGTGAAAAAAATAATAATTAACAATCAGGAAAGGGCAAAGAATTTCATTCTCCAAAATGAAGAACTCATTTATAGTTTAAAAACATTAGTTAAACACTCAAAATGTATGCAATTACTAGCATAATTTCATCTATAAATTTCTAAGTTCTAATGAGTTGAAGTATATATGAGTGGATGAATGGTCAAGTGCCTTTGGCCCTTGGCCATTTTTGTAATGTATGAAATCTTTAAAAAAACACAACATCTAACTAAATGTCAATGTTATATTAAGTATTGTAGATTCTAGAGTTAGTTTGAAGGCCAAGCTAACCTTGATTCCATGAGGTTTAGGGTCAACTCAGCCTTAAACTAACAAGTAACATGGCACTGATAATTTTTGTCACTTATTAGAAAAAGATACAAAGATGTTATTGTCTGTAATTTTGTGTCTTTTAATTGTGAAGAAAATATTTGTTCTATTTGTGACAATTAAATTTAATTCATGTATTTCTTTTAATTGTGAAGAAAATATTTGTTCTATTTAACCTGCATTGCCATTTAAAAGTATTTTGTAAACAGAAATAACTTGGGTATCTACTACAGATCGTAAATTCTTCATTACAAATATGCATACATTCTTCAAAAAAGTCTTGTAAATCTCTGTTGGTATAAATGTGCAATGAACATGTATGCTCAAGATGAAAATAGAAAAATTGCAATGCAGTGATTTTTTTCAATTTTCAAATCAACCTTGTTTTAGGGCTATGCTGACCCTGATTGATTTTTGCAGGTTGTATGAACCTTGTTACACAACATCGGTTATAAATTAGTCCTAATCCTATAAATGTGACGTTACTTTTTGAGATATTTTTACTTCTTATAGCAAAGCAACATCATATTGAAAATGCCCATAAACCCATAGCACATTACACAAGAAAATCTTGCAGAACTATAAAACACATAAGTCAGCGTAAAAATACATTAATGATTAATATTGAGCTGTTCATGAATACCATTAATAACAAAATACTTTTAAAAGTCAAACTGTCACATCTAAACAATCGTGTTTAAATCCTTTTATTCATTTAAATTCCTTATACAGCCGATAAACAAATGGCCATCACACAGTGGGCTAAATCTGATTGGCTATTTGAATGCAAGTGTTTAAATGAGTCAAAAATTTACAAACAGAATATTTTAATTTGAACGAAATATTTACCCATGCACCGTCAGCATGTGCGAATATAATTTTCCATTCAAAATTTTAAAACAATCTGTAAACCATTTTACCAAACCGGTATGGCGGATAGTCAAAAATAGATTGTTGTGGATGGTGATAGGTGTCTAACTCTAATCCAGGACAGGAGATTGCCGGTTATGCAACATGACAACTTTAATAAGGTCATTTCTCGAGATGTTTTCACATGAAAACAAATAGAAATAAGTTAATTTTCAAAGTGCAACGTTTCTAAGTAGTGACTGACATGACAATAAAATTGCGAAGCTCAATAAATCCTATAATTTGGATTTAAATTTATCGTCCTTGAAATTAAAACAGAAGACATGATGAAATTCACGTCAGTTTTACAATCTGACAATGCCAACAAAAACAATGAATTAAATTAACTCTGAAAATTAAACAATTAAAGTCTAGGGTTGTTCCCAGTCTTGCCATTGGTTTAATTAATGTCTTACTTTTGTATTTTCACTTGAATAGAAATTTCTAGGCATGACCCTCCACATTGACGCCATGATGGTTTTTTAACGGTGTAGCGTTAAAATTGATATTCATTTCAATTGGCAAAATTTTACACCATTTTTAGGTTCATTGGTACTAAAGTCGCCGAGACAACTTGGGGCGTGGAGCTCAAAACGCCTATAAAATCCAAATAAAATGTATATTTGTCAATCTCGGAACATGTACTGATCATATATGTCAAAAAACTTAATATAAGCCGTTTTGAAAAATATCATATTTCATCGTCTTCTGTATAATAATATTATATTAAACATACTCTTTTTCTAAGTTTATTTTTTTTTCAAGCTCTGAGCTGGACCTGGAGTACAATCAGGTTATTTCTTGGACTCATTTTTTTTTAAAAAAGTTAAAATATAGAAACTAATGATTATAAAAATACATGTAATGTAATACATGTAAATACATTTTGTGCTAATTAAGTATCAGCACGATTACGCAGAGGCTCTAAAATTCGGTGGATTCATTTTTACGTTAATTAACAAGTAAAAAATACATGCATTTAAATGTATGTTCCTCTGTTTCACGTGCCAAGATCAGGAAAATGACATTATCTTTTTCCACCAGTAAAGCTGGAATGTCGCCATATAACTTAACGACGTTAAAACCAGAACTTTATATTTCATCTTTTTATTAACAATATCAGGTTTGTTTCAATATCCACAAACATTATGTTCTATCTTCACATCTTATTTTTCCTTCTCGACGCGACTGATTAACACTGGAAAAACAGCACTCCCAACCATTTCCCGGTCCTTTCAGTTAACAGTATTCATCTACGAACTCATAGAGGTGGCGAGTTTTACGTTGCAAATTAGATTATACAAAAACCCAAAAAGCCATGATAAGGAGGGACTAAAAATCCCCCGGGAATTAACTTGGTTAGTGCTTTGACCTTATTTTGTTTTATTTTTGCCCCCAAAACATAAAAAACGGATCCAAAAAAATAACAATTGGTGTTTTAGCATTGACTCTAAAATTTCATATTTTTAACGAACATTTTTACCTTTTTATTGAGAAAAAAACAAAAGCCGGGCTAAAAACGCATTTTTCCAGACCACTAGGGACACATGGGGCTTCATGAGATTCGTTGCGTTAGATCTTTGAGTCTTATATTGCTGTTAAGAAGACCGTCAGAAATGATACAATCTATCGGATCATAATTCGACTTTTTATATTTGAAGCAGTAGTGTCACTTTACAATTTCCATTGTTTTCAATTCCTGAAAGAACGTGTTTTAAAAAGAGTTTTTGTAACACATCCAAAGGTGATAGGCCTTTTAGAGGGTTCTTATCGCAAAGAAACACCACCGATTTTTTTTGACATGAGATGACCGACATTTGTGTACCATTTGATGTAGGTCTGAACAATAAACGTGTGTGTATTCCCTTCCCGCGCTTTTTCAATAATAACAAGAGCCATGTCAACATGGCCATCCCTCGCCGAATGTGTTTGCTCATTGGAAGAATATATATGTAGTAGAGCAGAATAATTCAATTTTAAGAGGTCTTTTGGCCATGAAAACTGATGGAAAACCTATGTGAAACTGATGGCTTAAAATAATAAAGGGCAATAACTGAAACATTATGCAGGAAAGAGTTATCATTCTTGTGTGCTGCACTCCTCCTCAATGAGATCTATCCACTTATGAAGTTTCATGTTGATATCTCAAAGGCTGTTTTTGTAATGCTCTGGACAAAAATTAAGCATGAAAAATAACAAATGGCAATAACTCAAAAATTATGCAGGGTAGAGTTATCATTCTTGTGTGCTGCACTTCCTCTCAATGATATCTATCCACCTATGAAATTTCAAGTTGATACCTCTTACACTTGAAAAATAACAAAGGGCAAACACTCAAAAATTATAATGGGAAGTGTTATCATTCTTGTGCACAGCATTCCTCCTCAATTAAGATCTATCCACCTATGAAGTTTCATGTTTACATCTCAAAGTCTTTTGAGTTATGCTCCATTCAGGTGAAAAATTAAGTATGAAACATAACAAAGGGCAATAACTCAAAAATTATGAAGGGTAGAGTTATCATTATTGTGCACTGCACACCTCCTGAATAAGATCTATCCACCTTTGAAGTTCCATGTTGATATCTCAAAAGCTTTTTGAGTTATCCTCTGGACAAAAATTAAGTTTGAAAGGGCAATAACTGAAAAATTATGCAAGGTAGTTATCATTCTTGTGCACTGCACTCCTCCTTAATGTGATCTATCTACCTATGAAGTTTCAAGTTGATACTTCAAATACTTTTCGAGATATGCTCCAGACAAAAATGTCGGACGGACGGACAGACAGACAGACAGACAGACAGACAGAGACTATTTCTATATCCCCTGCCGCCTTTCAGCGAGGGATAATAATTGTAAAAGATAATCCAAAAATGAAGTGTTTTCACTTAAATCTACGAATCTCACCAAAAATTGATAGGTAAATTTCTTTGTTGTCCTTTGCATTTTGAGTGCTTCACTGGATAATTGTAAGATTGATATAATGACATTAGGGAGCCGTGCTGAGGATAAGAAGGTGGCATTCTAATATAATGATATTAGGGGTCTGTGGTGAGAGTAGGAAAGTGGCATTCTAATGTAAAGAGATAATGAATATGAAAGGAATGACATACTAAAATAACTTATATTCTTTAATTTTAAAAACAATTCAAATTTTTTATTTGTTATCAAAAATAAATCTGCAAACGAAAAACATTTCACTTTACAGTGCAACACCCTTAAAGAGGCACAGATTTTGGTTGTTGCGGAGAGGTACTGTTCTACAGGAGTTAAATTCCCTGTGAAGTCTTACTGTGGGATGAACAGTAAGGAGTTTAAGAATTTAAAAAGAAAACACAATTTTACAAAATTCATCTTCATCACTTACTCAGAACTCAAACCTCTTATATTGTTCAATCATATTGCACTTTTTTTTAAAAAACTCTGAATAAATTTCTTGATCAATTAGTCATAAAAATTATGTAACCACAATGGTGACACTTTTCAGTTGTCACAGACTCGTGTTTCAACCTAACATATGTTTCGAAATTTGTCTACCAAAGCTGTACTGTAACCACTTGTGTAAACTTCCTGAGAATAAAACGTTTATTATTTCTCCTAGTCACAGGTCACATGATAACATGCATTAGTTAGTTCACATTAAACACGGCAAATTCCATCAATCCTCTGTATCAGAGGGAACCAACGTCTTGGAATAACTGGCATTTTCAACGTCTTCATCAATGTCATCATCACTGTCTATATCATCAGTATAACCATTCCCTTTAGTCACACGGTAACTAAAATTAAAAGGAAAAAAATCAAGATTTTTAAGGAGTATAAGATGTACATTTTTGTCTATTTCAAGAAACATTACATCATTTTGCAAAACATTATTTGAAATTAAACTGACATTATGCTCATTTTTTCAATGTCAAATTGAGTTGAAATGACTATATTTTTCCAAAAGATTGACTGTAATAATGGTGATTGACCTACAGCTGATATTGTAAAATGTTAAGGATAAAATATAAAACTGCTTATAAATTCCCAAAATCTGCTGCCCAACTCTCTATACACGAATCAAGATGGGAAACAGCTCAAATATTTAATATTTAATATTGAAAATATTGTGAAAATTTGAGCGGTCCGTACATCAAAAATGACTTTATTTTCATCAGAAAATTGATATAACATTGTATATTGGGAATCATTAATTAAATAATTTTACCTCATATCTGTCCCTTCTGGATTATACTCTTCCATCTTGATATGTAATCTCTCTGCAAGTTTTTCTGCTGCAAGTTGTGCATTTAATTCCTGGAACACAACAAGGAATACATGACATAATATTTTTTTACTGTAGAACCAATATTTAACTCCCATCTACCCTATTAAAAAAACTGCTCATGGTATGAGGGAGAGAAAGGGTTCGGCTACTGTAGAGAGATTAACCCTAACCCTGCGGTAAATGAAAGTGATTGACCTTTTCAACCAGTACAGGGCCAAGTCTGCCCACACATTCTGCTGACCAGCTTCAAATTTCATCATGAAATCCCCAAAAACGGATAGATCCAAAAAATAGAAGCTTGACAAAAATCTGGAAAAATGTGATCCTTCAGAAGCATTTATCACAACAAAATAACATGAAAATTGCAGACTTGGTTTGATTGAGTCTGTACATGAGGGATAATGAAAAAGTGCAATATCCCTCACACCCACTACTATCGGCTTGATCAGTACTCAATTTTCAACACTCAAAGTACTGGAATCAAGTCCACTTGAGAATTTATGAAGGTTTAGGGTTAAGCTCATTGTGCAGTCTGACTTTAAGAATATTTTCTATATTGTTGTTATAATAAGGTTATTACTCTAAAAAGGTTGCTGCGTTCATGATACTTTGTACAAATCTAACCTTACCAAGGGTACATGATTTACGTAGGCCAATAACAACATGTATGTTAGAAATATAGCTAATGTCTCAAGCTTGTTCATACACCATATACATTTGACCAATACATTTATATGTGAACAATACAGAGTGTAATTGTTGTGTCATTAATATGTGTACCAAAACTATAGAACTGAAAATTAAATTTTCTGGTTAAAAAAAGCTTATTTGGCTTTTAGAAACCCAAAAAACAGCGCCCTTATAAGAATCAAATTTTCTTGTTTTTTACTTCGCAGGAACATTTTAAAAGTGATAAATTTTCCCGGACCAGGGGAGCCCTACCACCCTTTGCACATTTTTTAACAATCTCACCATTTCCCAAAAAAATTTGGGGTTTGCCAAAATTCTTGACTTCCCCAAATCTGTTTAATGGGACAGCCCCAAACAAATAAAAGCGGGGAAAAAGGTTTCCTTTAGAAATCAGCAGGTTTAAAAAGGCCCAAATGAAATTTAAATTTAAAAACATTACATTTACCTTCCTGTTTTTGTTTCTTTTGGGTTTTTTGTATTTGTAGGGATTCATTTATATCTATCATTTTCACCTCAGAATACTTGTAATTTGGTGGGACCACTGCTGATTCTTCATTCACTACAAATTTCAAAATAAATATTGAATATAAAATCACATATATCACATAAAATCATGCTTGTTTGAAATTTTGTCCTTCACGAATCCTTTTAATAATATGGTTTTTTTTGACAGGGTGTGTTTAGCTCAGGTCCTGTGTCACATTACTTTCCACCCTTTGTTGGGAAAAGAAGACCTAGGACCCCATTGGAAATAAGCTTACTAGCTTAATGGGCTTTCCTTGTAACCTTAAATCACTTTTAACAAAATTGTTGTATTGAATTTATTTCTTTAGGTATGCTTTACCTGTATAAATGCTGGCACTTTTTTTTATCCCCCATATAATATCTTAACATCTATGTTAACTAGATAGACTCTATATAAAATGTCAGTAATTTTAAACAAATTTTGTGCTCCTTGTTATAAAGTCTCTGACAGGTTGTTGTTGTAATATGATCTGCGATTTTTCATAATTTTATGCACTGTAAAGATATATCAGTAATAGTATGTTCATGCTCTCTTATTAGCTAGGAGAAACACACATTGGCCACATTCTAGATAACATAAATTGCATGATAAAAATATCACTAATATAGGAAATGATGTGTTTACCTTTTGGTTGATTGCATTCCATCTTGCTATGATGTTTAACAGTGTTAGGAAGTCTCAATAAATCTTTCATCTTCTTTATATCCTCTGGTAGATCTTGAATATTCTCTACTTTTAAGGCTCTGAATAAGTCAAATACATGTATAATCATTAAGAATAATTTACATTTAAATGATCATCTGAATAAGTCAATAATCATCTGAATAGTTTAAATAATCATCTGAACAATTCAAAAAGTCTCTAGATTAAGTAGATTTTTTTTTTAATAATCTGAATGATGCAAATTATCATGCAAAAATTCAAATAATCATCTGAATAATTAAAATAAGAACTGTCGGAGGACAGTAACGTTCGACTATTCGAAAAGTTGTCACAAGGGTGTTTCATTGAGTATAATAATGCTTACCTATATGAATACATAAAATTGTCCGAAAAGGTACAAACCCTTCAGTAGTTATGGAGATACCGTCAAACAAGCAAAAATTTACCTAGAATTTCTAAGTAAAAAAAGGGGGCATAATTATGCAAAAAAGCAAATCAGAGTTATGGGACTTGTGCCATTCATCTTAGATAATCACAGAAAACAAGTGTGTGAAGTTTCAATCCATTCCCTTCAGTAGTTATAGAGATACCAGCTTACACGCAAAAACTTAACCAAGAATTTCTAAGTCGAAAAAGGGGCATAATTATGTCAAAAAGCAAATCAGAGTTATGGGACTTGTGCCAATCATCTTAGATAATCACAGGGAACAAATGTGTGAAGTTTCAATCCATTCCCTTCAGTAGTTATGGAGATACCAGCTTACACGCAAAAACTTAACCAAGAATTTCTAAGTCGAAAAAGGGGCATAATTATGTAAAAAAGCAAATCAGAGTTATTAGACTTGTGCCAATCATCTTAGATAATCACAGAGAACAAGTGTGTGAAGTTTCAATCCGTTCCCTTCAGTAGTTATGGAGATACCAGCTTACACGCAAAAACTTAACCGTCGAAAAAGGGGCATAATTATGCAAAAAAGCAAATCAGAGTTATGGGACTTGTGCCAATTATCTTAGATAATCACAGGGAACAAGTGTGTGAAGTTTCAATCCATTCCCTTCAGTAGTTATGGAGATACCAGCTTACACACAAAAACTTAACCAAGAATTTCTAAGTCGAAAAAGGGGCATAATTATGTAAAAAAGCAAATCAGAGTTATGGGACTTGTGCCAATCATCTTAGATAATCACAGGGAACAAGTGTGTGAAGTTTCAATCCATTCCCTTCAGTAGTTATGGAGATACCAGCTTACATGCAAAAACTTAACCACAGGGATGCCGACGCCGACAAATGGGTGACTGCATTAGCTCGATTATTCTGCGAATAGTCGAGCTAAAAATTGGAAAATTTAAATAACAATCAGAACAAGAACTGTCGGAGGACAGTAACGCTCGACTATTCGAAAATTTGTCACAAGGGTGTTTCATTGAGTATAATAATGCTTACCTATATGAATACATAAAATTGTCCGAAAAGGTACAAACTCTTCAAGTTTCAATACATTCCCTTCAGTAGTTATGGAGAGACAAGCTTACATGCAAAAACTTAACCAAGAATTCATGAGTCGAAAAAGGGGCATAATTATGCAAAAAAAGCAAATCAGAGTTATGGGACTTGTACCAATCATCTTAGATAATCACAGAGACCAAGTGTGTGAAGTTTCAATCCATTCCCTTCAGTAGTTATGGAGATACCAGCTTACATGCAAAAACTTAACCAAGAATTTCTAAGTCGAAAAAGGGGCATAATTATGTTAAAAAGCAAATCAGAGTTATGGGACTTGTGCCAATCATCTTAGATAATCACAGAGAACAAGTGTGTGAAGTTTCAATCCATTCCCTTCAATAGTTATGGAGATACCAGCTTACATGCAAAAACTTAACCAAGAATTTCTAAGTCGAAAAAGGGGCATAATTATGTAAAAAAGCAAATCAGAGTTATGGGACTTGTGGCAATTATCTTAGATAATCACAGAGAACAAGTGTGTGAAGTTTCAATCCATTCCCTTCAGTAGTTATGGAGATACCAGCTTACATGCAAAAACTTAACCAAGAATTTCTAAGTCGAAAAAGGGGCATAATTATGTAAAAAAGCAAATCAGAGTTATGGGACTTGTGCCAATCATCTTAGATAATCACAGAGAACAAGTGTGTGAAGTTTCAATCAATTCCCTTCAGTAGTTATGGAGATAACAGCTTACATACAAAAACTTAACCAAGAATTTCTAAGTCGAAAAAAGGGGCATAATTATGAAAAAAAGCAAATCAGAGTTATGGGACTTGTGCCAATCATCTTAGATAATCACAGAGAACAAGTGTGTGAAGTTTCAATCCATTCCCTTCAGTAGTTATGGAGATAACAGCTTACATACAAAAACTTAACCAAGAATTTCTAAGTCAAAAAAGGGGCATAATTATGAAAAAAAGCAAATCAGAGTTATGGGACTTGTGCCAATCATCTTAGATAATCACAGAGAACAAGTGTGTGAAGTTTCAATCCATTCCCTTCAGTAGTTATGGAGATACCAGCTTACATACAAAAACTTAACCACAGGGACGCCGACGCCGACGCCGACAAATGGGTGACTGCATTAGCTCGATTATTCTGCGAATAGTCGAGCTAAAAATTATCTTAACAATTTAATAATCATCTGAACAATTTAAATAATCATCTGAGCAATTCAAATATCATCTGAATAAGTCAAATAGTAACCTCAGTAATTCAAAAAAATAATCTGAACAATTCAAATAATCATCAAAATTGTAAAACATTAAACATCAAAAACTTAGAAAATGCAAGACAAAAAGAAAGCCTATGACATTGTTGTTATGGTAAAGTCTGAGATCTTCAGGGATTCTAAACAAAAGCCAGTAGGGTCAGACCCGGACTTTTGATTCTTTTTATATTAAAAAAATTAAAATTTAATTTTAAAATATGCCTTTAAACTTTCCCTTTTAAAAATTTTTTAATGTTTTTCCCAAATTTTTCAAAAACCAGCTTTAAAAATTTTCCCGGGACCCCAATAGAACCCCGATTTTTTTGGCCCAAATTCTGTATAGCTTCCTCACATGAGAAAAACAAAAGTCCTGTATGGGATTTGAGCTAACAGCAGTGAGTTGCAAGTGGTTCAAAGTTAACTGTTTTAACTACTTATCAACAGAAGATCCCGGGTGATTTGGTGACCTGTTAGTAAAGGTGTTGTCCTCTCAAACCAGGGATTAGGAGTTCTAGTC